GGATTCCTGCCCCATCCCCAGGGGCTAGGGCGGGGCCCCAAAGGGAACATTTACCAATATTTTCAAATTCTTATCCATTGATGACATGACAAGTATTGTATTTCACTTAGTTTACATGCTGATTTCCACATCACATCTAAACAATAAAATAAAGCTACCAGTACCTATGATATAACTCAGGTGACCGCTAAGGCCCTTGGGCCTCTTGTTTTTCATAAAAGTCTCGCAGGATATGGTTTTTCTTTCAGAAATAATTTATCCAAGCTGGAAAAACAGTTTCCAATGCGTAGTTACAGTTTTTATCAATGTTTCGGGGATCTTAAGCTCCGCGATGGCCATGTGGTTAAGGCGTCTGACATTCTGCTACCACTAGCCCTCCACCACTGGGTCGCGGTGGCCGTGTGGTTAAGGCGTCTGACCTTCTGCTACCACTAGCCCTCCACCACTTGGTCGTGGTGGCCGAGTGGGTAAGGCGTCTGACCTTCTGCTACCACTAGCCCGCAATCCCTCGGTCACGGTGGCCGAGTGGTTAAGGCGTCTGACTTTCTACTACCACTAGCCCTCCATCCCTGGGTCGCGGTGGCCGAGTGGTTAAGGCGTCTGCCCTTCTGCTACCACTAGCCCTCCACCACTTGGTCGTGGTGGCCGATTGGTTAAGGCGTCTGACCTTCTGCTCCCACTAGCCCTCCACCACTTGGTCGTGGTGGCCGAGTGGGTAAGGCGTCTGACATTCTGCTACCAGTAGCCCTCCACCACTTGGTCGTGGTGGCCGGGTGGTTAAGGTGTCTGACATTCTGCTACCACTAGTCCTCCACCACTGAGTCGTGGTGGCCGTGTGGTTAAGGCGTCTGACCTTCTGCTACCACTAGCCCTCCACCCCTGGGTCGTGGTGGCCGAGTGGTTATGGTGTCTGACATTCTGCTACCCCTAGTCCTCCACCACTGAGTCGTCGTGGCCGTGTGGTTAAGGCGTCTTACCTTCTGCTACCACTAGCACTCCACCACTTGGTGGCGGTGGCCGAGTGGTTAAGGCGTCTGCCCTTCTGCTACCACTCGCCCTCCACCACTGGGCCGTGGTGGCCGTGTGGTTAAGTCGTCTGACCTTCTGCTACCCCTAGCCCCCCACCACTGGGTCGTGGTGGCTGAGTGGTTCAGGCGTCTGACCTTCTGCTACCACTATAGCCCTCCACCACTTGGTCTTGTGGCTGAGTGGTTAAGGCGTCTGACCTTCTGCTACCACTAGCCCCCCACCACTTGGTCGTGGTGGCCGAGTGGGTAAGGCGTCTGCCCTTCTGCTACCCCTATAGCCCTCCCCCCCTTGGTCTTGTGGCTGAGTGGTTAAGGCGCCTGACATTCTGCTACCAATAGTCCTCCATCCCTGGGTCGCGGTTGCCGAGTGGTTAAGGGGTCTGACCTTCTGCTCCCCCTATAGCCCTCCACCACTTGGTCGCGGGGGCCGAGGGGTTAAGGCGGCTGACATTCTGCTACCCCTAGCCCTCCCCCCCTTGGTCGCGGTGGCCGTGTGGTTAAGGCGTCTGTCCTTCTGCTACCACTAGCCCCCCACCACTTTGTCGTGGTGGCTGTGTGGTTAAGGCGTCTGCCCTTCTGCTGCCACTAGCCCTCCACTCCTGGGTCGCGGTGGCCAAGTGGTTAAGGCGTCTGGCCTTCTGCTACCACTAGCACTCCATCCCTGGGTCGCGGTTGCCGAGTGGTTAAGGCGTATGACATTCTGCTACATATGTACCACTAGTCCTCCATCCCCGGGTCGCTGTGGCCGCGTGGTTAAGGCGTCTGCCCTTCTGCTGCCACTAGCCCTCCACTCCTGGGTCGCGGTGGCGAAGTGGTTAAGGCGTCTGGCCTTCTGCTACCACTAGCACTCCATCCCTGGGTCGCGGTGGCCAAGTGGTTAAGGCGCCTGACATTCTGCTACCCCTAGCCCTCCCCCCCTTGGTCGTGGTGGCAGAGTGGTTAAGGCGTATGACATTCTGCTACATATGTACCACTAGTCCTCCATCCCGGGGTCGGGGTGGCCGAGTGGTTAAGACGGCTGACATTCTACTACCACCAGCCCTCCATCCCTGGGTCGTGGTGGCTGAGGGGTTAAGGCGGCTGACATTCTGCTACATATGTACCACTAGTCCTCCATCCCGGGGTCGGGGTGGCCGAGTGTTTAAGGCGTCTGACATTCTGCTACCACTAGTCCTCCATCCCTGGGTCACGGTGGCCGAGTGGTTAAGACGTCTGACATTCTACTACCACTAGCCCTCCATCCCTGGGTCGCGGTGGCCGAGTGGTTAAGGCGTCTGACATTCTGCTACATATGTACCACTAGTCCTCCACCACTGGGTCGAGGGTTCGAGGGCAGTCGCCAGGTGAGCTAATAAACCAAACCAAATCTTAAGATGTAATTTTTCATCGTATCACTGGTGGCCTACACGACTTTCCTTAATTTGATGCGAGTCATGGTTATGGGGTGTCGCATGTAATATATGTACCAGAAACACTAAGGGACTAAAATGTATATTCTTATCATTTATGATGGCATGAAACCAAATATCTTATACACAATGCATTTAAAAACAATCACTTTGTCATTTTAATTTTCAATTAATTAAACTTTGACCAACTGGAGTCATAGAACACATGGGGTGGTCAGATGGTGCAGTGGATAGCACACTGGTCTTTCACAAAGATGGCTGATTGGATTCCTTGGTCAGACGTGAAAAGGTATGGGGTCACTTGACCGACGATGTGGGTTTTCTCTGGGTACTCCAGTGTACGCCCACATTAAGACCCCTCCTCCCGCAGGCTAACATCTGGGCCAATAGGAGTGATTAATGTAAGTTGATAGAACTTCGTTGTTTCACACGTACTTGTTGTAAAATAGGTGAAGTGAATTTTGATAAATAAAACATTTCAACAGACAACAAACTAAATTTTGTTTTGTTATATGTCATTTTTATTATCCTCTCGTCAATCTGCTAAAAAATACATACTCCAATACAAACGGGTTGTACAACGATGTATCTCATCAACTTTATATCTTGCATAAATTCATGTCATGAGTTTAGTGAGAATGCACACCATATACAAGTTTTTGTGTATAAATATAGAGTTACGTTTCAACAATAAACTATATACACGTCTATAATAGTTATTGTCATCACCTGTGTACTTACACTACTGTACACAGGCAAACTTTCGCCCTATCACACTTTCCCATTTTATCAATGAAATGCAAAGGACTATGTATGGTTTGGGTGTGTTTTAGCCCCCAAATGCATCACAATTCAAAACCTTTAAATGAACTTTCAAACGACTGTTTCTGTAATTTTGAATACTTCCCAAATACCATAATGGAAACGTTTAGTTGTATTTCTAAATATTGTTGCCATGGTGACAACTTCAAATTTTCATGAATTAGAAAAATTTGAAAATTCAGTGAATATTGTCATATTTTGCATAGTTAATTTTCTCCTGGAACTATAGAGCGCATGCTTGAACAAACTTAGCATCAAATGATAATGCGTATACAACTGTAATACATCTTTAGGAGAAATATAATAGAGTTTGTTCAAGAGTGTGCTTTATGATAGCTGAGAGAAAAACTATATGTGAAAACCTGTCAAAATTGACTGAATATTCAAATTTATTAATTTATGCAAATATATTAATTGGTTACCATGGCATCCATAATTAAAAACACAAATAAATGTTTACATAATAGTACCTGGGAAGTATTCAAAATTATAAAGAAAGTCTATTGAAAGTTCTATTGAAGAATTTTGATTTCGATGGATTTGGGGTCCAAAAAAGGCCCAAACTATCTATAATCCTTTCCTCAATGTTTTCCTTGCCCTTTACATTTAAAAATTACGTATATTATATTGTTTATGAGTTTTTGCCGTCATGATCAATTCTCCCCTCCCTTATAATCCAGGGTGAAAAAGTGTGAAAACTGTGACAAAAATTGTTCGACACACTGTATAAATATATAACGATTATAGCCGATACTTGTTTATAGACAACACACATATATACTGATGTGTCAACAGTAAACAATCCACACAAACAATACAGGTGTATAGAGATGTATATATTGTACGGGCTATACATTAGAAGATATGTATACATATATAAATAGTTTTGTAACGGACAATATAGGTCTGTGTACATGTGTATGGGAACGGATACAGATAAGTTGTGTAGACAAAATATATATAAATCATTACGTTTCCACAACTTTGTACAAATAATACACACACATAAACTTGTAAGGATACAGGACGATTTGTACAAATAATACACACACATAAACTTGTAAGGATACAGGACGATTTGTACAAATAATACACACACATAAACTTGTAAGGATACAGGACGATTTGTACAAATAATACACACACATAAACTTGTAAGGATACAGGACGATTTGTACAAATAATACACACACATAAACTTGTAAGGATACAGGACGATTTGTACAAATAATACACACACATAAACTTGTAAGGATACAGGACGATTTGTACAAATAATACACACACATAAACTTGTAAGGATACAGGACGATTTGTACAAATAATACACACACATAAACTTGTAAGGATACAGGACGATTTGTACAAATAATACACACACATAAACTTGTAAGGATACAGGACGATTTGAAAATTTGACTTTGTTTACACTTTAAGGTATCACACATAGCCCAATATAACGACACACACAATGTAAACAACATACATCTGGTAAAGCCACTAACTACCATATCACAATTTTGTTATCAATCCCATATTCCGTTTTGCATGTACATTAAAGCTGTATGTATACTGTGTCATGTGATTACTCCACAAAATCTTTATTTACATACTAAATAGTATATATATACAACAAAAGATATTAACATACTAAATAGTATGTATAGACAACAAAAGATATTAACATACTAAATAGTATATAAAGCTGAGTACAGGAATTAATTTCTGCACTAAAATCTACAATTCCCAATAAAAAACGGACTATTTTTTTATATGCTGTTGATAAAAGTTATTTGGTATATTTGTGTTCATTGTTTATGATCATTCCCTCAAAACATTATTGCTTGTAAAAATTGCTGTGTTTTTACAAAAGCAAAATTGCATTAATCACGTTGAGTTAATTTTAAAAGTTAAATCCCCGACAACCATGAAAAGAAATTCACAAAAATTACTCGAACAAGAATAAAATGATTTGGCCTGGTCATTGACAATCACTTTCTCTGCGACACGTTTCCCTGTAAATCTACGCATTATGATAATCTCGCTTTATAACGTGTAAAAAATGTTCACAACAAAGTAACAAATACTTGTATAACTTTAAAACAAAGTCACAATTACGAACATGCTGTATATTTGTTGAACCTGATAAGAACTGGAAGCTGCTGTTACTAAACTAAATTTGAACTTAACTGATTTTTGAACTCTATGTTACTAAATTGAGACTGTGATACTAAACTGAATTTTGAACTCTGTGTTACCTATTTGAATTTTGAACTCTGTTTTACTAAACTGAGACTCTGTTACTAAAACAAATTCGGATATACGTGCTACTAAATTGAGCCCAGTGTACTACCACTAGACTACGGTGCCTTCATCTTAGTATTTGAATACAACAAGTATCTTGAGTGGGACTGGTCCAATGTAAGGTTTAGCCCGCTCACACTCCATGCAGATTGCATGGCTAACCCTTTCAGTACAAGTTTTCAGAGATATTCTTTGATCATCTTTGGATTGTTTACATAAAACAAATCTCTGTTTGGCTTGTTGTCCAGAATAGTCCCTCCTCTATCTTAAAGCTGTAACTCAACTGCTATAGCTCTCGATGCAAGAAAACAAACAATACACCATTGTTCAGAAGCAAAACACATTTAGTACTTATCATACTTGCCAACCTTTCGAAATTTACATGGGGGAGATTTTGTGTGCTCAAACTAAAAAATAAAAACATATATAAAATGTGTGTTTACACCCCCTAGAGACAATTAAACTTATCTTTTAAAATTACATACAGTTACTGTCGTTTGTGTTATCTGTCAGATGAAATCGTTAAGATCTTAGAATATTTGAATACTTTAGCAATTTCACTGGATAAAGATGTTAAGTTTAAGGAGCCGCCTTCGTAAATAGGGAGAGTTGGCAATTATGACTTATTTGCATAAATGAAATTTCTCTATCAATTGGAAATTGAGTCGTACTTGAGTTACCTCCCTTGAGTTTATAAAGTCAACATAAACCAGTGCATCATTCAGGGCAGATTGAAAAGGGGAAACATCACAACACCGAGTATAAAGGGTATAAAAATAAACATTGTCAACATTTTGAAATGTCTCGAAATAAATCAACAGAAGCAATACTTTATTCTGGGATCAATACAAACTATGACCTTACATTTGTCATTGATGATTTTTTTCTTATTGTTTTAAACCACTTTCTGAATACTGAAAATTTTGAATACGGATTACCGAGACATACTTTCCTAATTGCAAATTAAGCCACATGCACCATTCCCAAAACTGTGGGAGAAAGAAGCTGCAGAGTGGTTTCATATCAGTAGCTCGAAAAAATATTTTGAATTGCCAACCCTGCGAATGTGGTTCCTCTTCTGATAGAGTCGGGTTAATTACATGTGATTTCTACCGACTCTGCTAGGGAGAATTTGTCTAGGGAGTAAGTCATCCTGGTAAAATACCAGACACTTCCTACCGACTCTACTAGGGAGAACTTGTCTAGGGAGTAAGTCATCCTGGTAAAATATCAGACACTTCCTACCGACTAGGCTAGGGAGAGTTTCTCTTTAGCTTATTTGGTAGAGCGTAAGACTAGTAAACCAATGATCCCGGGTTCGACTCCTAGCAGATGTATGGCAAAAATATTACCTCTGTTACAGGTGTTCAAAGAATTGATAACCTGTGAATTTATTTGAGAACAAAACCATAGATTTGAATCAAGACTTAAATATCTGTTGAGTAGAACAGGCCATCACTATCAATGTAGATTGTATGATGAAAACGGCTGCGTTAATTTAGATACAGATTATACGGGACACATTCCCCTGGATAAGGAGTAATGTAGTATTTATTTGTGTATAAAATCAATACTCTGAGATCATCATCACAGAATTCAATCGAAACAATAAAATAAAACGTAAAAAAATAAAAACAGGTATATCTATACAGTATTTATGAAAGGACAGATACTTCGGACAATGGACAGACACATGACAAGAACGTACTTTGAAGCCGTGATTGGAATAAATAGATATGTATCATATGTAGTGAACATCACAGTGTCATTGGAATGTATAATTATTCAATTTTAATTACATTGGTAGTATAATTTCAAAAATAAATACATTTAACGGAGTAAGATTGAGCAAGTACAACAGTAATAATTCTGTACGACACATTTCACATCCAGATACCATAGAAAATATGTACATAATCACATCATCAAGTTGTATGATATAGATCTATCTTCACAAGATATTGAACAAGAGAGATTACCTCGTAATTGAAAATCTTATACATACATAATATTCTTAATCTCAACTTGAGAAAATAAATATACATAAAATGTTTGTACATAACGTCATAATATTTGTTAAATATAATATATATAACAACAGAGTCAAAATAAATAGCATTGTTATAATCTCACAGAACAACAACAAATGTTGGATTATCTCCCCTGATGCTCTCAACGACTACAGATACACAAGAACATTAAGATGAGAAGTGGTTAGTTGATTCCCTGGCAGTGTTAAAATGGTGATCTCATACAAGATTTCACTGTAATAAGTTACACAAAAGTTAAATGGAATGAAAACGAGTGTGACTTTTTATTTGCACCAATCATACAATAACACGTTTATCAAAAGTAGGATAAATACCCATAAAACCACAAATTCTCAAAAGTAGGATAAATACCCATAACACCACAAATTCTGCCTCTGTCATTAATTCGGTCAGTGATTTTAAAACAGCTTGTTCCTACATGAATTAGGAAAATAAAGCATCAATTTTTTATTGGAATTTGGCAGATATTCCTGATTTTTTCTTCATTTTGGGGAGTTAGAGCCCTTTTTAGCCCGGGAAAGCAGCCTGTTTTTGGCTATAAAACTAGGCACAGAAATCCTGTTACTACCACAGCTCTCACCAAAGTTAATCTTTCTTCATATGTTGACACGTTATATAACAAACCTTAGAAGTAAGAGAGGTCTACAACCAACTATAGAAAACACTTTTTAACCCTTTCACCACTGTAGACCATCATGGACTCATTCAGATCAATGCATGGGAGAGCTAGTCCACTAAAGTTGCATAAGGGTGAAAACGTTCAGTTGAGAATTAATGGCCGACAATACTGAAGATGCTTCCTATTAAACCTTATATTATTATTGGGATTTTTTTTTTTGAAATATCACCGTTTCAAAAAAATGCAGCTTGATTAACAAGAATTCTGGGTACAGAACTAGAAAACTGTGTAAATTGTTTGCCAAAAAAGTACTTTTTCAGCCCAAGTCTTATAAAGGCTACTGAACAGTGCAATCTCGGTAAAGAAGAAAACATTTTTGGTCCCAATTAGCCCCACAAGTAGCTAGTCCTACGAGAATTTAGTCCTACGAGAATGTAGTCTTACGAGAATGTAGTCCTACGAGAATGTAGTCTTACGAGAATGTAGTCTTACGAGAGCACCATGGTGTTTAACATGATCCGTCAACATTTTATCACAGAAACATTGACTGCATATCTTAAAATCAACAGTTGCTTGCCTCCACAAGATCGATCAGTCTGCACACTTACACTAGAACTTTGTTTTTCTGGACACTTTAAAGTTTCATCACATTGAACCCTTCGTTACTCTTACTCTTTGGCATGTGTAAAGTATAACAACAATCTAGATAACTGATCATGGCGAAAATATTGCATTCCATAAAAAGGACAGTTACACAAATTTTATTTGGTCTCTGGAATTCTTCCCGTTTTCTTCAGTCGTGAACGGAAATCGAAATGCTTTGGCTCAGATTCAGCCGAGGTAGCCTTGAATATATTGTCTTGTGATAGGTCAATGTTAGTTTTACGGAGCCTCTTTCTGAAATCAGATGTCGGATCATTGTTGTCGCTGGTGACGTTGACATGACCATTGGTACTGGACTGTGGTATAATTGAAGGCGTTCTGAAAAATATATCCAATTTTCGATTAGTCTTAACGAATGGTCTTTTATAATTGGATAAAGCATGTCACATGTTTTAATGTCCTTGAGTAAATGTAAAATAACTACCGTCAAACTTAATGACAGTCTTGTATCGTGGGAGGGAGGTAATCTGAACAAGAGGCCCATAGGCCTTAACGGTCACCTGAGTCCTACAGTATTCATTTTTGTTGTTGAAATATGAAGTGAAGATAATGATGTCAATCATCCCTACCAAAATTTGAGTAAAAAATAGTTAAGTATAACTTTAAAGTTATATTTTTCAGGACAATGAGTTGATCATTCCTAGACCGAGTTTCAATTAATTCGGCCTATTAGAACTTGATTTTAAGTTTTAAATAGTTTTTTTCCAAAATGGCAGCCATGGCCGCCGTACTGGATTTTTGAAGGACCTAAAAAAACATTTTGCCAGGACCATGAGTCGATCATTACTACCAAGTTTCAGTTAAATGGGCCCAGTAGAAATTGACTTTAAGTTTGAAATAGTTTTTCAAAATGGCGGCCGTTGAGGCAATATTGGATATCTGATCGACCTGAAATATAGAAACACTTTGTCAGGACCATCATGCATGATTTGATCATTCCTACCAAGTTTCAGTTAAAACGGCCCCGTAGAACACTTGGTCAGGGAGTTGTCAGTAACATTCCCATGAAGTATCAATGAAATCCCTTTGACAGTATTTCAGCTTAAGTTGAAAATGTAAAATGTTAACCGACGACGGACGAAGACGGATAGCAACAGGTCACTTGAGCTAAAGCTCAGGTGACCTAAAAAACAACAGTCACACTCACCTGCATGTTCAATCTCAAATCATAATACTGAGTTTGTCTGAACATATTAAAGATACAGAAATTGTAAATTTATCCTTATAAGAGATGCTCGAAATTCCCCATGTATAAGGCACAGATTTTAGAATTTCAATAAACCCCTTCTCTAAATCCACAATTTTTCGAACTTCAGGGGCAATATATTTTAATTTTGTCCTGAAGAATCCAATTGTATAAGGGAAACTGTTTGACACTAAAAATGAACTACAAAAATTACCTCCACCTGTTGTAGTTGAATCAATGACCTAAATAAATATATTAATACCGGTACAAATAAAATTTTATCTTGCATATACATTGTGGCAATTTCATGCAGCTCTTTAATTTTAGAAACCATTTTTTGTTGCTGTAAATATACTTTTTGTGAATTTTTGAATGATTTGTTTTCCATGTTGTTTTGAAAATCCACTTTCAACTTACAGTGCAAATTTGACTTTGCTAGCGGATGGTGGAGACATCATATTTTCATTGCCATTGACATCAACTTTTGGAGGCGTAGTTTTAAGGACCACCGGGGATGGTGACTTCCTGGGAGGCGTAGGGGGAGGGGGAGACGAAGGAGGGGGAGGAATCGTCAGCACAGGGGCCGCCATCCTGCTGCGAGGTATACTGGGGGGAGGGTGCAGAGGCGGGGGAGGGGGTTGTGTGTTGGTCCCGTTGGTGCCGCTTTCATTGGGTTTACGCTGACGTTGTTGCCATAGTGACACCACACTTCCAGCACATTCATCCTCCAATCGTTTTGCAAGATCCTGTTTACTGTATTCTGATTGGAGTTCATCATGAATGGGGGCAGGATCTTCTTCGATGTAATGATGACCATTGGTCAAAGGAATAGAGGAGTCCCCTCTGTCAGGGATAAAATGAGAATATTATAGGTGACCACCAGGTACGACTAGAGGAGTAAGGCATGGTCGTGGTATCTTGTATAGTGGAACCTTGTTAGTCTGAACTTTCATGGTCTGGTAGAACAAGCTTAAATTCTGACAAATTTCTCAATGAAGTGCACACTTCACTCACAGAAAGACATTTTTTCTATGAAATTGAATCCAACTCATGGCTGGGATGAGTCATACAGTCAGTCGTCACTTTTGATTCGGATGAGTCATACAGTCAGTCGTAACTTTTGATTCGTATGAGTCATACAGTCAGTCGTAACTTTTGATTCGGACGAGTCATACAGTCAGTCGTAACGTTGGATTCGGACGATGACGAGTCATTATCAGTCGTAACTTTCGTAACCCTTGAACTTATAAAACACCATGGAAATACCCAGGTAACTCAAAATAGTGTTCTGAACCTGCATGAGCGAATTTGGTGTTACTTGTTCGATTTTTAATTGTCTCATAATTAAGAGCTGGTACTGTGAGACTTGTTTATCTACCGTACATTTATGCGAACCAAAATATCCATACTAACAAGGTACCACTAAATACCAGTATTGTAGCGCAGAAAATAATGATAATAAAATAAAAGGATTGTAAAGTGAGTACTCTAGTAGGTCAACTTAATCTATATTATCCTAAATGATTTTAAAATCTAAAAAAAAAAGAGAAAATAAATTGTTAATAACAAGCTTGTAAATGATGATAATTCAATAAAACAGAAGTCAGAGAAATGAAATAGGACTTCTCCGTGATTTTGCATAAATTGAAATGAATGAAAAATAGAAATTGTTACAATATTATAAGAATCTTGGTCAAGAGTTTTGAGTCATAATAATAATACACCGAACCAAATTATATATAACTTAAGGATCCCTGTCCCACTGCACTGTGCTTTTTTCACATCTACAGTAACCTCCCCTTTTGGATATAACTTTAGCACAGCTGGGCCAGGATAGCTCAGTTGGTTCAGTTGATAGTGTAACAATCTGAGGTCCTGGGTTCGAATCCCAGTGGAAATGTTTACACTCAGAACACTGTTGTTGATTACATTTTGTGTATTTTCATCTTTGTGATTTTTTCATAAAAGTCCCGCAAGTTACGGTTTCTTTTCACGAATGATTTATTATCAAAGCTATATATAGACATGCTGGAAAATCTGTTTCTTATACAAACGTTTTTGGCAGTGGTACAGGACCCCAAGTTAAAGATCAGTTTACAATAGAGTGCGTAAAATGTGCAATGCTGATGAATTGATAGCGAGAAATAAATATATATTAGTCAAATATTGGCAGAAAGTATTAACCTCATACAGAAATGTCTATGAACATGTCTATGAAATGTCTACCAGAGATTTCGTCAGAGTACAAGTTTTTAAATCATTCTAATTTCAGTACCAAGTGTCGGTGCAAATAAGACCTGTTACCTGTTTACCTGTTTAAGAGTCTTTCGCATCAACTTTGGTTAACTTTGACCATGACGTGTTACAACAAACACAAATGGGAAAGCTTTGGTACCAGGTGTTGAAATGGTACATACAAAATAAATCTCTTTAAAATTTGTAAACCATTGAAAATAAATTAACATATTCCTGAAATGTTTAGTTTTCATTAGATCTAGAGAAATTGTGAGCGAACTCACAAAGATATATATAACCCCGCTTCTTTTTTATCTGCGTATTCAAACCTTGTTTGCAGGAGGTATATTTCCCCAATCACAAATCCCTCCACACACATCTCCTTATAATGTAATTTCATTGTAGCATGTTATAAAAAATTCCAATAAGTGGTTAAGGAGGGGTTTGGCTTAAAACGTTTCTGGCGGTAAAAGTTAAAAGAGAAGTTGTAACAACAAGATTCGTGGAGAAGAATTTTAAATTCTAGGGGAGATAACTCCAAGAATTAAAAAAGGTCAAATTGCAAAGTCCTTAATTTCTTCAGGGATATCTCTATACGATGTACTTAATTCACTGTGCCAAGTGACAAACAAATCCAACAAATAGTTAAGTAGGAGTTGTGCTTACAAGGCCTCTGCATGCATATCTACATATAATGTAAGTTAACTGTGCCATTAGTTACAATAATTCCAATAGATATTTTAGGAGGATTTCTGCTCAGGAGGTTCAGACCAACAGATAGGATGATTCCTCTATAACCTTCCAAATCTTCCTTTGTGAGGCGTTTAAAACGCTGATGTAATGTAATGGCAAGTTGAAAAGGTTTTGTTTCATTTGACACAGTTCCAGTGGTATATAATTTTGAAAAGTTAAGATTTTATTGAGAAATCATTTTACATTGATGGTATATTTGTCAGAAACAATATGTTTAAATGGATATGAAGACACAAACATATAAAAATACAATTTGTATGAAATCAGAATGAAGGGTGCACCAAATTGAATATAATAATGATCAATACAAAGCAGAGGAAGACTTATACATGCAGTCCAGTAACTCATTCTGTCCAAAATCGCACAAAAACAAAGACAGACCATCTACAAACGATACGGAAATACTATTCTATCTGCAATAAGCCGAGGCCAACACATAATCTCCGACAATAGGTAAAGTAATGTGCTTACAACAACACATTGAAACAGCTTTCGTTGGTATTTCTACTGAAACCCAATAGATATGGGCGGGCTTATTACCAGGCATGGGCTTATTGACAGATAAATATAGGTAAATCATAGGATAAACTTGTTCATGTCATGAATGCAATCTGATTTATAGCAATACTATATTTAATACTAGGTGTCACACACAGCTGTACTGCAGATATAGGTGGGCTTATTACCAGGCATGGGCTTATTGACAGGTGACTAAGGTATATACATAAAAAAACCAGTTATTTTTGAAGCATATGATAATGATAATTATTTTTGACTTGATAGAATCAATTGAAGGGAGACATTTTCTTATGTTACCTGGGTTAGTTGATTATAGTATTACTAAAAGCAAAATAAAGAGCTTGAAGATCTACGTAAGCAACTCTTCAGTTGATTTCTACAATCTGAGCTGTCATGTTGATATAATGGAGAGTAGTGAAGCAGACTAAAGACTGTGATCCAGTCTGACTTGTAATAGTTCAAGCCTTTAGTCCAACTTCTGCTTACCTAACTGTCTTACTCCCAGTCAGTGGTTTAGGGGACAAAATACAAACTGTTTCAGTAATCTTCCAAACTTATAATCCAGCAACTTTTGCTGGGAATTAAAGTGACTTCCCTGTATATGTCATATTGACGGTAAATAAAGTATTGTATTTATCCCGCGGAGACAACTCTAAATAGTGGGATGGCCTTAATATTATCTGACAGTGAAACAGTATTTGTTTTCTTTTCATTTAACTACAATAGATATGGGTTGGCTTATCACCAGGCATGGGCTTATTGCTGGATAAATATCGTATGTTGAAATGTATTGGTTGTGTTAGTGTTTACATGCGTCATTAGCCTATGGGAATCGTTATTCCCCGAGTTTGTAGTATATTGGTTGTGTTAGAGTTTACATGTGTCATTAGCCTATGGGAATCGTTATTCCCCGAGTTTGTAGTATATTGGTTGTGTTAGTGTTTACATGGGTCATTAGCCTATGGGAATCGTTATTCCCCGAGTTTGTAGTATATTGGTTGTGTTAGTGTTTACATGGGTCATTAGCCTATGGGAATCGTTATTCCCCGAGTTTGTAGTATATTGGTTGTGTTAGTGTTTACATGGGTCATTAGCCTATGGGAATCGTTATTCCCCGAGTTTGTAGTATATTGGTTGTGTTAGTGTTTACATGGGTCATTAGCCTATGGGAATCGTTATTCCCCGAGTTTGTAGTATATTGGTTGTGTTAGTGTTTACATGGGTCATTAGCCTATGGGAATCGTTATTCCCCGAGTTTGTAGTATATTGGTTGTGTTAGTGTTTACATGGGTCATTAGCCTATGGGAATCGTTATTCCCCGAGTTTGTAGTATATTGGTTGTGTTAGTGTTTACATGGGTCATTAGCCTATGGGAATCGTTATTCCCCGAGTTTGTAGTATATTGGTTGTGTTAGTGTTTACATGGGTCATTAGCCTATGGGAATCGTTATTCCCCGAGTTTGTAGTATATTGGTTGTGTTAGTGTTTACATGGGTCATTAGCCTATGGGAATCGTTATTCCCCGAGTTTGTAGTATATTGGTTGTGTTAGTGTTTACATGGGTCATTAGCCTATGGGAATCGTTATTCCCCGAGTTTGTAGTATATTGGTTGTGTTAGTGTTTACATGGGTCATTAGCCTATGGGAATCGTTATTCCCCGAGTTTGTAGTATATTGGTTGTGTTAGTGTTTACATGGGTCATTAGCCTATGGGAATCGTTATTCCCCGAGTTTGTAGTATATTGGTTGTGTTAGTGTTTACATGGGTCATTAGCCTATGGGAATCGTTATTCCCCGAGTTTGTAGTATATTGGTTGTGTTAGTGTTTACATGGGTCATTAGCCTATGGGAATCGTTATTCCCCGAGTTTGTAGTATATTGGTTGTGTTAGTGTTTACATGGGTCATTAGCCTATGGGAATCGTTATTCCCCGAGTTTGTAGTATATTGGTTGTGTTAGTGTTTACATGGGTCATTAGCCTATGGGAATCGTTATTCCCCGAGTTTGTAGTATATTGGTTGTGTTAGTGTTTACATGGGTCATTAGCCTATGGGAATCGTTATTCCCCGAGTTTGTAGTATATTGGTTGTGTTAGTGTTTACATGGGTCATTAGCCTATGGGAATCGTTATTCCCCGAGTTTGTAGTATATTGGTTGTGTTAGTGTTTACATGGGTCATTAGCCTATGGGAATCGTTATTCCCCGAGTTTGTAGTATATTGGTTGTGTTAGTGTTTACATGGGTCATTAGCCTATGGGAATCGTTATTCCCCGAGTTTGTAGTATATTGGTTGTGTTAGTGTTTACATGGGTCATTAGCCTATGGGAATCGTTATTCCCCGAGTTTGTAGTATATTGGTTGTGTTAGTGTTTACATGGGTCATTAGCCTATGGGAATCGTTATTCCCCGAGTTTGTAGTATATTGGTTGTGTTAGTGTTTACATGGGTCATTAGCCTATGGGAATCGTTATTCCCCGAGTTTGTAGTATATTGGTTGTGTTAGTGTTTACATGGGTCATTAGCCTATGGGAATCGTTATTCCCCGAGTTTGTAGTATATTGGTTGTGTTAGTGTTTACATGGGTCATTAGCCTATGGGAATCGTTATTCCCCGAGTTTGTAGTATATTGGTTGTGTTAGTGTTTACATGGGTCATTAGCCTATGGGAATCGTTATTCCCCGAGTTTGTAGTATATTGGTTGTGTTAGTGTTTACATGGGTCATTAGCCTATGGGAATCGTTATTCCCCGAGTTTGTAGTATATTGGTTGTGTTAGTGTTTACATGGGTCATTAGCCTATGGGAATCGTTATTCCCCGAGTTTGTAGTATATTGGTTGTGTTAGTGTTTACATGGGTCATTAGCCTATGGGAATCGTTATTCCCCGAGTTTGTAGTATATTGGTTGTGTTAGTGTTTACATGGGTCATTAGCCTATGGGAATCGTTATTCCCCGAGTTTGTAGTATATTGGTTGTGTTAGTGTTTACATGGGTCATTAGCCTATGGGAATCGTTATTCCCCGAGTTTGTAGTATATTGGTTGTGTTAGTGTTTACATGGGTCATTAGCCTATGGGAATCGTTATTCCCCGAGTTTGTAGTATATTGGTTGTGTTAGTGTTTACATGGGTCATTAGCCTATGGGAATCGTTATTCCCCGAGTTTGTAGTATATTGGTTGTGTTAGAGTTTACATGTGTCATTAGCCTATGGGAATCGTTATTCCCCGAGTTTGTAGTTTATTGGTTGTGCTAGTGTTACATGCGTCAATAAATCCAAAGTGAATGTGATTTAATCCATGCATGTGCTCATGACTGCAAAGTCCGACTGAAATGTTGCTTTGGTAGTAACAGGACCCGTACACCCAGATACAAACTCCATCAACAAACGCCACCACCGTCAAACTACGCCACACAACTACGCAAGCTTAGCAGCAATACTACTCAACTAGAGGCTTAAACATTGTGTCACAACACTGACTTGTTCAAAATAGCTTCGGCGATGGATCGCGCCAATTTTGTTCGCTCAGAGTCGGAATCGTCTTTGTCCTCGGAGTCGTCGGTAGGTTTGTGAACACCATTTGTTTTGTTTTCTTTACTGAATTAGTAATCAATCAATGGATTTTTTTTTGGTGATGCAAAATTTTCAATTTGGAAAATGTGGGAAAATATGTGATAAGAGAAAAAGCAAATGTTAGAGCAACATTAAAAAAAAAAAAAAAAAAAAAAAAAAAAAAAAAAAATGATACTTGAAAAACTATTCTGATAATAGATATTAATCATAATGTGAAAAGAATGCAAAGTTATGAAGTTTTAAGAAAGACCATTAAAAGTGATCAGAGAAGCGGCTACCCAGGTCACATGATCATACCTTACGTCACATGACCATCCTAAAAGTCACATGACTATCCCATAGACACTGATTATCTTATCATCAAGATGATACAATAACCCCTAATAAGACACCAAAACTTCAGGCTTTTATTCACAAAATAGCTTTTTTAAAGCTAATTGACTAGTCCACATTTAGTAAAACAGGCTAGTTAAGAACTGCCGTATGGTCATGATAAAAGATTGTACATTTTGGATTCCTGCCCCACTGGCGTTTTGTACAGTAACCTCCCTTTATCTCGTTAGGATACAGGGTATTTGCCAGGTGTTTATAGGGTCCGGTACAGGGACCCGTTCCTAATTGAAAAATGACCCTATATTTTCCCAATTTCAGTCTTTATATTCCCAATTAGATTAAAAGGCATGTTTATACAAGTTTCCAGTCGTTATATGTGCAACGTTCAAAGTATTACCGTCCATGAAGGAGCATTCAAAATTCATTAATAACAAAAAAATTAAATTGAATAAACAAAATCTCTGAAAATTGATGTGTTTATTTATAGGTATACATTTTACTGTAAAAAAACAGCTGGAGGATTATTTTTGGAAATCACATTGTAGGTTTTATTTTTCAAAACTTATGATATTTTCCCAAACCTTTACATGTGGGGACACTGATGAAATTTCCCAATTTTTGACAAATGCCGATGATATTTTCCCAAATTCCTGCTCAGGGGCCCATTCCCAAAATAGCTTGCAAAAACTCTGGGGTATAACTGAAGCACAATTTGGGCTAGAACACTTCCGTAGACCAGGTACCTCGATCTGTTACAGAGATAAGTCCAACCTCGTTAAGTCCAAGGTTCGCGTCCCAGTCAACCCCGTCTGATATTTTTTATTGCACTCCGAACACTCTTATTGATTATATTTTATTTATTATATCTATAACTGTTTTTTTGTGTCAAAGGCCGGCAAGGAATGGTGTTCTTTCCAGAAATTATTTTTCAAGACGTGCGGGGAAAAACAGTTTTAGGCAGTGGTCACGGATCCTTCAAGGTTATGAAAATAACCGAAGGTTATCATGTAAAACAGCTTCAATCTATAATAAGGGGAAGTGCTGCCATGGTTTCCGACTTTCCTCCAAGCTTGTAACTGATTGGTATGCAGCTTTCAATAAGAATGGTTTCCTATAGTCCCACTCCTTTTAAGCTTTCAGTTAATATGACCTGTTTATAGTAAAAGCAAACTACATTTTAATGCACATAAAGGGGAGGAAACTACTACACAAAGGGAGGTAACCTATCCATACAGGGATGATAACTCATAAAAGGGAGGTAACTGCTATATATACAGATGACATAACTAAAGATGACTGCATAAGTGATGATATTTGTCATGAACAGGGGAGGTAATTTAATATGTAAGGGATATAATTAAACATGTAGGGGAGGTAATCACATATAGGAAAAGATACAATGACTTATTCAGTGAGGCAGTATACTTACATGAGTGAAAGAGCATTATGTTTAGCTTGAAGGAGAGGGACGTCCCAGTCTACGATTTGGTCCGAGGGCACGTGATAGGTGGAGTCAGACTCCGAGGGAGGGGCCAATCTGAACAAAATCAGTATAAAAACGCTAGCCATCTCAAAACAAAGCTCAAACATACAGATTCTCCATTGCTTTGCAAATCAAAGAGAGGTGGAAAAAGCTTAGCCAGAAATGTGAAGAAAAAACCATCTCCAGTCAAAACCATGGAAGCTTTTGTATCAATTNATTTTTTTTTTTCTTTTTTTTTTTTTTTTTTTTTTTTTACTGGTGAAATATTATACTGGTACCAGTAAACTACAAAATCAAATCAATAAATACAGTTTTTTGTTTTTAATATGATTTACATTTTTCCTGAAAGAAATAGTGCTGTAAGAAACCAAGGCAAAAATCTATCTTCAGAATTTTTTTCTTCAAATGAAATAATTCTAGTAAGGCTGAAGGTATGTATATATGTACCTTATCTTTAAGACAATGAGATAATACAGCTTGAGAATGGACCAAAAAATCATGTCCGCTTGTGGAATCGAACCCCAAACGCCTTGGTGAAAGGCAAGTGTGCTATCCAATGCACCACCCAACCACCTAACTTTGGGACAACTTGCCTCTAACCTTCAAGAATTCTTAAATAATTAACACCTGTTACAGGGGGCAGAACTTTCTCATTTATCTTTAGTAAGAAACATAAATAATACCTGTGACAGGGGGAACATTTTTCTTTGTTTGTAACAGACATTCAAAGAAAACTTGTCATAATCACACAAACACAGGCTTTATTTCTGTACTGTCAATGTAAGCCCAATGAAACATCCCACCAGCTACTACTCATTTAAAACAACAGCAGAAGTCAAAACAAAAAAGTTGGCACAGGTGAGCTGAAATATTTCACCATCAATATTTTGAATAAGAAACATTGCTGTGAGCAGAGGTATAAATTAAGGGAGACAAACTGTCTAATTATCACACCGATCCCTGATCTAAACAACATGTAACATTATCTACAAGTGTTACAATCTACTACAGCTGATGGACCAAATCAAATTCAAAAGGAGTGTGGACAACACCACAAATCTTGCTTATACTGGAATTAAACAATAACTTCAATTATAAGCAAGATTCTGCCATGTTGTCTATGCTCGATTTCAATTAATTGAGGAACTGTAAGAGATCGAGGCTTCCCTATCCTACCAGTATCCATGGCGCTTATCATCCAAATCACACCAAATTTTCTACTTAACCCTTTCACCCCTTGGTAACTTTAGTAGACTCTACCATGCATTGATCTTGATGAGTCCATTATGGTCTACAGTGGTGAAAGGTTTAAAAGGGGCTTTGTGTCGTCAACCCCCTAGAGTGATGGACAAAAACAAATTGAATTGAATCGTAACTTAACTTTGAATCAAAATATAATATCTCATCACTGCTTTCTGACTGGACAGCAAGGCTTCTGTAACCCTTTCACCACTGTAGACCACAATGGACTCAACCAGATCAATACATAGACGAGTTGACTTACATAACATAGGGGTGAAAGGGCTAAGGTAAAACAATTTTTTCATAACATATAAATAAGCTTGCCAACAGGTTTATGATTAATAGCTTAAATTTTTAAAATATTATTGTCAGTTTTTCTTCAGTTATTTATATCAGTAAAGCTTTCACAATTCCGTTAAATAAAGCCGTACACGAAGTGATAAGTTCAAGGCATCAAATGACATGGATTTATAAACTACATGTATATAACAGGTTCAATTTTGTGATGTGTAATTTTTGTGCCCGAGTATCAGAATGACATTTTTAAGGGTATAATGTTTTAATCGAATCAGAAACTGAACCGAACGTGTCATTTCATCTCTATGACTGAAAGAACTCATTTAACATAAATTCATTAAACGGTCTGTGAAAATAATTTAAAAATCCAAAATTAATGGAGGATATACTTTGTCCATTAAATGATTATGAATTTTCCTTTGGTGACTAATAACATTTTCATACATATAATAGGTAATAGGAACTTAATAGTAAGTGCCAAATAATGGTTGTTTCTGCCTACTTGGAGCGCAGAGAAGTAACACGTATAAAACTAACTATTATACAGTAGGTTGTAGATGTAAATAAAAATATAATAAAAGCCAAGAATGTTTACATATTAATTATATTTCAAAGCAGATTTTTAATGCCAACAAAACAAAAAAACAAAAAAACGAATTAGAAAAAAAACTACCTTGGTTTCAAATAAATAGATAAAGACATAAAAATAACATTGAGAGATAAATGACCTTGATCTTGATCATTGTTGTGACCTTGACCTTGAGAAATGCCTGGCCTTGGAATACTTACATATCTTCTGTTATATCATGATAATAGGACTCATTTTCTGTCTTCATTACTGATTTCGTCTCACTGGAATAATAAGACATTGAATCATGCAGTTAGCTCCCTTTGATTCACGCCAGAGAGTGACAGCATCCTACCAGGAAACTGTTTTAGCAACAAGTTAACACAGACCAGCTGGCTGCTGGCATCAACAGCTGTATCAAGTGGCTGCTGGCATCAATAGCTGTATCAAGTGTCTGCTGGCATCAATAGCTGTATCAAGTGGCTGCTGGCATCAACAGCTGTATCAAGTGGCTGCTGGCATCAATAGCTGTATCAAGTGGCTGCTGGCATTAATAGCTGTATCAAGAAACTAGGCCATACTTACAGGGCTGCACCGATATATCATATCGTACATAGGTGTCAACCTCTGAAACCTCCAATGATGGATATCTCGCTTATTCCACATTTCCGATAAAGGAGGAAGTGCAAGAAACGCAACTGAAACTGCTTTGCTCAATTAATCTTTCCCTTTTTATGTATCAAAATAAATCCGAAAAGCATTATATTGATTAAGACACACCCTGTAGTAACTAGGAGATTATTTTACCACAGGATGTAGATTTTAAGCTTTTTTAATGTATATATAAATAAGGGGCATTATACAGAGGTTTTATTGTATATAAACAAAGAACATTATAAAGAGGTTTTACTGTATATAAATGAGGGACATTATACAGAGGTTTAACTGTATATAAACGAGGGACGTTACACAGAGATTTTACTGTATATAAACGAGGGACGTTACACAGAAGTTTTACTGTATAAATGAGGGACATTATACAGAGGTTTTACTGTATAAATGAGGGACATTATACATAGGTTTTACTGTATAAATGAGGTACATTATACAGAGGTTGTACTGTATATAAACCAGGGACATTATGCGGTGGTTTTACTGTATATTAACCAGGGCCGTCATACAGAGGTTTTACCGTATATAAATGAAGGACATTATACAGAGGGTTTATTGTATATAAACAAAGAACATTATAAAGAGGTTTTACTGTATAAAAATTGACATTATACAGAGGGTTTATTGTATATAAACAAAGAACATTATAAAGAGGTTTTACTGTATCTAAACCAGGGACATTATACAGAGGTTTTACTGTATATAAATGAAGGACATTATACAGAGGTTTTATTGTATATAAATCAGGGACATTATACAGAGGTTTTACTGTATATTAACAAGGGACGTCATACAGAGGTTTTACTGTATATAAACGAGGGACGTTACACAGAAGTTTTACTGTATATAAATTGACATTATACAGAGGTTTTATTGTATATAAATCAGGGACATTATACAGTGGTTTTACTGTATATAAACAAAGGACATTATACAGAGGTTTTACTGTATCTAAACCAGGGACATTATACAGAGGTTTTACAGTATATAAATGAAGGACATTATACGGAGGTTTTACTGTATATAAACAAGGGACGTTATACAGAGGTTTTACTGTATAAAAAAATGAGGGATATTATAGAGGTTTTACTGTATATAAACAAGGGACGTTATACAGAGGTTTTACTGTATAAAAAAATGAGGGATATTATAGAGGTTTTACTGTATATAAACAAGGCACGTTATACAGAGGTTTTACTGTATATAAACCAGGGACATTATACAGAGGTTTTACTGTATATAAACCAGGGACGTTACACAGAGGTTTTACTGTATATAAACAAGGGACATTATACAGAGGTTTACTGTATATAAACCAGGGACATTATACAGAGGTTTTACTGTATATAAATGAGGAACATTTTACAGAGGTTTTACTGTATATAAACAAGGGACGTTATACAGAGGTTTTACTGTATATAAACCAGGGACATTATACAGAGGTTTAACTGTATATAAACAAGGGACATTATACAGAGGTTTTACTGTATATAAACAAGGGACATTATACAGAGGTTTTACTGTATATAAACAAGGGACGTTATACAGAGGTTTTACTGTATATAAACCAGGGACATTATACAGAGGTTTTACAGTAAATAAATGAAGGACATTATACAGAGGTTTTACTGTATAAACAAGGGATGTTATACAGAGGTTTTACTGTATAAAAAAATGAGGGATATTATAGAGGTTTTACTGTATATAAACAATGGACATTATACAGAGGTTTTACTGTATATAAACAAGGGACATTATACAGAAGTTTTACTGTATATATAAATGAGGGACCTTGTATCAAGATTTTAATGTATATAAATGAGGGACCTTATATTAAGGTTTTACAGTATATAAATGAGGGACCTTATATCAAGATTTTACTGTATCAAAATGAGGGACCTTATATCAAGGTTTTACTGATATAAATGAGGGACCTTATATCAAGGTTTTACTGTATATAAATGAGGCACCTTATATCAAGGTTTTATTGTATATAAATGAGGGACCTTATATCAAGGTTTTACTCCATAACAAGGACATTATAGGCGGCTGTTTTTCTCTACTCCTATGCATGATTGCTCGAGTTAAGCCAGGTTGAAGCCTGACTTAAGTTTTTTTCACACTTGTATTACATAATGGAGTATTCATTAAATGTAATTCACCAAGACCATCATAATTACCTTTTACGGATTAAGTGTTCTGGTACTGACGGTGGAGGGGGATGTACGTCGGCTCTTACTACGGTAACTGGCACCTCCTCCTCAGACCCAGGGTAGTCAGGATCAGGAACAAAATTGTTCAGCTAAAATTGATGTTGTAATAAATCTTACCATAACATTTCAATTTTTAATGCAACTATCAGAAGCTATACCCTGAATATAAGGGAAACCTGTGTAAAACAGACCATGACAATAAAGGAAACCTGTATAAAACAGACCATGACAACAAAGGAAACCTGTATCAAACAGACCATAACAATAAAGGAAACCTGTATCAAGCAGACCATGACATTAAAGGAAACCTGTATCAAACAGACCATGACAATAAAGAAAACCTGTATAAAACAGACCATGACAACAAAGGAAACCTGTATCAAACAGACCATGACAATAAAGGAAACCTGTATCAAACAGACCATGACAACAAAGGAAACCTGTATAAAACAGACCATGACAATAAAGGAAACCTGTATAAAATAGACCATGACAATAAAGGAAACCTGTATCAAGCAGCCTTTAACTTAGGTCAAATAGTAAGGTAACCCACACCCTAAGTTTTATTTTCAAATGACAATCTGATTCAAAATTAGGATCTGAACACAAAAATTCTATTTTTGTTTTTGTAACAGTGACCTTGACCTTTGATGCACCACATCCATAACGGCATATCAAGCAATGTTGAATAAATCTTAAATCTCAAAACTCATGACTCAGACTTGACAAACAAGCATACATGGCTCTGATGGGCCGTTTTTTGGATGTGTTTTAAACAAGAAAATCAATCTAATGGATGGTGCTTTCTGAAGAGGTCATCAGGACTGGAATAACATGTTACATTTGAACTGTCGAACTTGCTGAGAATCTTACCTTAAACACGTGCAGCCCAAAATGGTAAGCAACACAAAGCTTTGTCATTCTACATATTTCTACAAAACTTCAAAGAGCTAACTTCAGCTAGCAAGAAGAAAATGAATTTGACCTCTAACTTCAATGTGGCCTTGACCTTGGGTAAATGTAAATAGACCTGGTATAAGCCACACTGCCTTTCAATCCTACATATATCACTAATATTTCATTGAGTTATATTCAGCAAGCCTGAAATCATTACGTGGAAAATAAATTTGACAGAGTAGCAATTATATGCTCCCAAAACTTTTTTTCTGGTAGCAAAAGAACACCACATTTACAGACAGCTTGTCCTAAGCTCAGTAACTGCCCATTAAATTTACCTCGTCATAATATTTAGTCTCGATAGGCGGCATCACCGATTTTAATTCATTCATCTTGAAAATCTGGTGGAGCCTTTCCTCACTGACCTCCGGCTTCCTCGGTTTGGGAGATTCTGCCTTCTTTGGTTTTACAACTTTTGCATAGATATTGTCAACTTCCTTTGTGACCTGTGCTGGAGGGGGCGGGGGCTCTGGTACAGTGACAGGAAGGGGTGTGGCGTTGGTTGGTGGACCGGGAGCTAGAGACTTTTTACGTTTTGTCTGATCCTCCATCTTTGGCTCCATTTTTCGTGGTGCCATATTTTTCATCATGTTCTGTAATAAGTCTTTATTGTACATCTCCACCTGTAAACAACAGTCCAGGACAAATAAGACAAACTCTGTTACATGTCAACATTTAAGGGGGCTAACATAGGGCAAGCCTTTAGTCAGATCAAACAAAATTAAATAAATATTGTCAATCATGTTTGCATTGCAGGATATTATAGTTGATAACATATAGAGCCTTTCAAACAATACGAGACGACATCTGCAAAAATCACGATAGATATTAAAGTTGTTGATACGGGAGAACGACATCGTATTACGATATATAAAATGTACTTGCAAAAATGGCGATGAATGATGTTATATAATATGTATTTCTGATATTAACTAACATACTAATAATCAATTTTCAAGCTCAATTTGCACTTAATCGTAAACCAGAGGCAAGCATGTAGGCCGCAAAGCAGTACATGTTTTCTCGAGTATTGACAGAATTTCCTTGAAATGTATTTGAATTTGGAGGGTGGATTGAAACTGTTTAGTTGAACCGACCATCTTTTCTCTTAGTGATGTGAAAGTGCTCTGTACTGATGGGATATTATACAGAGTTGGGGCCTATTGTCACCTGGCATGTGCTCTAGCTGTACTGATGGGGTGTTATACAGAGCTGGGGCCTACTGTCACCTGGCACGTGCTCTGTACTGATGGGATATTATACAGAGTTGGGGCCTGTTGTCACCTGGCACCTGCTCTGTACTGATGGGATATTATACAGAGTTGGGGCCTACTGTCACCTGGCACGTGCTCTGTACTGATGGGATATTATTCAGAGTAGGGGCCTATTGTCACCTGACACGTGCTCTGTACTGATGGGATATTATACAGAGTTGGGGCCTACTGTCACCTGGCACGTGCTCTGTACTGATGGGATATTATACAGAGTAGGGGCCTATTGTCACCTGGCACGTGCTCTGTACAACAAATATGTGGCATATATATCTATGAACTGTTTGTCACAGTTGACTACAATGGTTTCACATCATACCAATGCCAAACACAGTATTAAGTGTAGGAACTATAGCTTTGGTGAATCATTTCTGAAAATAAAAACCATACCTTCCGGGACTTATATTAGAAAAAGTAAAGATGAAAAGAACAAAATATACCATGGAAAGTGACCTGGTCTGACCTGTTAGTGTGTACGTGCAGGTCTGAATGTGGGAGAAATCCGGACAGTACCCTGAAATAACACACGTTGTCAGGCAGGTGACCCCATATACCTCCTGTTTCCGTTCAATCAGAGAATTTAACCCCGGTCACCTTGGTGAAAGGTAATTGTATTATCAGCTTCGCCACTCGAAAATCAGACTGTGAAATAAATCGGCCCACTACCACTGTAAGAGGCAAATTATAGGAAGAGTGTGATGATCAAGGTGTTTTATAATCTGTTACCTGTTGGGTGAGTGTGATGATCAAGGTGTTTTATAATCTGTTACCTGTTGGGCGAGTGTGATGATCAAGGTGTTGTATAATCTGTTACCTGTTTGGGCGAGTGTGATGATCAAGGTGTTTTATAATCTGTTACCTGTTGGGTGAGTGTGATGATGAAGGTGTTTTATAATCTGTTACCTGTGGGGCGAGTGTGATGATCAAGGTGTTGTATAATCTGTTACCTGTTTGGGCGAGTGAGATGATCAAGGTGTTTTATAATCTGTTACGTGTTGGGTGAGTGTGATGATCAAGGTGGTTTATAATCTGTTACCTGTTGGGTGAGAGTGATGATCAAGGTGTTTTATAATCTGTTACTTGTTGGGTGAGTGTGATGATGAAGGTGTTGTATAATCTGTTACCTGTTGGGTGAGTGTGATGATGAAGGTGTTTTATAATCTGTTACCTGTGGGGGGAGTGTGATGATCAAGAGGTTTTATAATCTGTTACCTGTTGGGTGAGAGTGATGATCAAGGTGTTTTATAATCTGTTACGTGTTGGGTGAGTGTGATGATCAAGGTGGTTTATAATCTGTTACCTGTTGGGTGAGAGTGATGATCAAGGTGTTTTATAATCTGTTACTTGTTGGGTGAGTGTGATGATGAAGGTGTTTTATAATCTGTTACCTGTGGGGAGAGTGTGATGATCAAGGTGTTTTATAATTTGTTACCTGTTGGGTGAGTGTGATGATGAAGGTGTTTTATAATCTGTTACCTGTGGGGCGAGTGTGATGATCAAGGTGTTGTATAATCTGTTCCCTGTTGGGTGAGTGTGATGATCAAGGAGTTTTATAATCTGTTACCTGTTGGGTGATTGTGATGATCAAGGTGTTTTATAATCTTTTACCTGTTGGGTGAGTGTGATGATCAACGTGTTGTATAATCTGTTACCTGTTGGGGGAGTGTGATGATCAAGGTGTTGTATAATCTGTTGCCTGTTGGGTGAGTGTGATGATCAAGGAGTTGTATAATCTGTTACCTGTTTGGGCGAGTGTGATGATCAAGGTGTTGTATAATCTGTTACCTGTTGGGTGAAGAAGAGGACTTGTGTATCTCGCTGAGACTTGTACAACAGTAGCTGTTGGTAGACCGTCCGACATCGCCATCGTCGATAGTATTTCTGTATCATAATGGCAGACTGGATGTTCAGCTGTATCCGCTTCTTACGTAATTGTCGTGCATTGATGCGGGCTCGATATGAACGGAATGCTGAAAATAAAACAAAAACATATAATTCAGATTTTAATGTTACCACACTGATTTCTGCCCGTGCTATTGCAGCAATATCAATATCAAAGCACTATGAACCATCTTTTCTTGGTTTTTTCTTCCTGAAATAAAATTTATCAGTGATATTGTGATTGGAAATTTCCAAACTGTCATCATTGTCAAACTACACTATACAAAAATGCATACACTTGGATTTTAATCTTTTTCAATAATGCAATGACCGGGGAAATACTGTAAGAAAATACAAATATTTATAAACATTCTTACACAATCTGCATGATTTAAACCTCATAGAGTTCACACTTCAGGTAAAAACTGACACAAAACTACACTGACCATTGGAACACTTCAGGCCTCTAGGTGTTCAAATCTGGAATATCTTTATGAATTGATGCACATTTTCAAAATATATTTTTGAGGAATTTGAAATTTGAAATGTTTTTTTTTTTTTTTGCTTGCTTCTCTTTCTAATGATATTTTTAACTCCTATATATACAATTTTAGTTTTGAATTTTTGATCAGATTAAAGTTTTTACTTTATTTTTCATTAATCAAATCACGTTTGAACAGGTGGACCTTCACCAACTGAAAAAGATATAATTATATGGAATCAAAATATAAACATTAAAAAACCTGTATCAACGATCACATTTCTTGGCCTTGGTTCAATAATTCCATAAATACCTGAAAAGAAATTAATGATTAATATCCATTTTCTATATAGTATTACATGATTTTCTTTTTCCTTTTCCTGTTTTGTTTCCTGCAAGAGATGCTGGATCGTTATCAGGGACATTTTATTTAATTAATATAAAGGAACAAGTTATAAAATACTGGCAGGGAAGATAACTGGACACCCAGACAAGTGGTGCCACCAGTGTATTTGTAAGATTTCAAACGTTTATACCGCGACAGAAAACAATTCTATCTACTGAATACTTTGCGGTCAGAAGGGGTAGGCGTAAACACTGCAGTAGTTCTTTAACCAATTTTAATTTTTTTTTAATACAATTTCTATAAAAGAAACAGCCATGTCAACATACCGGGGTATGGATGTAGTTGAAGTGTTCGGCAGTCTGAAAGTCCAAAAAATGCATTCTAATTTTTCTAAGCAAAGGTCTTTTCAATTAATTTTTTCGATGCCATGACAGATAAAAAAATTGAAATAATAAGTTTATTTTAAAATGATATTTTTCTATTTCAATGACCACAGCATTTATACTGTTTGAAAACGTCAATATCAAATGATATGAACCATTTGTTTTAACCATATTGTTCAGAAACAGAAAATATTTGGTTCCTTTTCATCAGCATTGCGAGAAACACAATATGTATAATTATAGATTCAATAAATAAACTTTAAATAAATTGATGCTAATTGAACTCACTTAATAAGTTCTGAGTTTTCACACAGCTAACTATGAAATAATAATACCCATGAGTAGCGTGTATGCCTGATACAAAGTGTTGATTATACAATGTAGTCACTGTCACAAACAGGCCAAACCATACAATATACAAAGTGACACTGCATGACAATGGTGTATTATCAAATACATTATAATATATATACATATCTGGTGATACATTGTATTTTTCTATCCCACAATGCAACACTTTTTACATAAAAATACATTTTCTATCCCACAATGTAACACTTTTTTTCTATCCCACAATGCAACTTTTTGAAAATAAAAATACATTTTTCTATCCCACAATACAACACTTTTTATAAACAAAAACTGCATTTTCCTATCCCACAATGCAGCACATTTTATATACAATGTAATAATTTAAAACATAGTGTTGTTATATATAATCTAGTAATATTTTCAACACAATTTAATATTTCATTATACAGTGTAAAATTCTCAAAACATAAAAGCTTTACTTTCTATGCTATATTCTCCAACAGGATGCATTGTTTTTTTATATTAACATTATTCTCAAAAAAAAAAAATCATCACAACGTAATAATCCCGAAAAACAGTTAAAATATTTTGTCAAATATTAATCTTAAACAACCAACTTTTATCCTTACAATGTAATAATCTCCAACACAGTGCAATATTTTGTCATACAGAGTGATGGTTTTCAATACAACAATTCAATCTGCCACACAGTTAACATACACTGCCATACAGTTACCATACACTATCATACACTGCGATACAGTTACCATACACTATCATGCCACTTTGCGTATTCGTACTTCTGACATGCAGTGTTTGTATACACACTGTTTTACCTGATTGTTTAACCTCATCAAATTTCTCCCTCTGTTCCGTAACAGTTGTTTCCTGTAAAGATTGTCGTGCCAAGAACCCGCGAACACAAGCCTGAATAGTTAGAACGGCCTTCCAGCGTTTTTGAAGCTTTTCACGTTTATCGTAAAGCTGTTTGCTAAGTAAGATGCCTCTCATTGCTACAAGGACAATGTTCACAGTGTACACAAAATATTCTCGCCATGTATATTAGATGAAACTTAATTTTACAGAAAGATTTCACAATACCTGTACTTACAGTCTCAATAACTGTCACACACTCTCAGGAGACATCAATCTATACTATCATTTAAGGTATTTTTTTGAAAAATATTCCTTAACAGGCTCAAAATACTACTTCTGAAGGTCATAAACTATAAACTGTTTTGTTGAAGGTCATTTATTCCTTAAATTGATTTACTTTGGAGACCTGAATGATCTCGAAGGAATAGCTAAATATGGAACAGACCTGTCAGATTTTGAAGGATCTTGAAGAAATAGCTTAATATGGAACAGACCTGTCAGACTTTGAAGGATCTTGAAGGAATAGCTTAATATGGAACAGACCTGTCAGATTTTGAAGGATCTTGAAGGAATAGCTTAATATGGAACAAAACTGTCAGATTTTTAAGGATCTTGAAGGAATAGCTAAAGATGGAACAGACCTGTCAGATTTTGAAGGATCTCGAAGGAATAGCTAAAGATGGAACAGACCTGTCAGATTTTGAAAGATCTTGAAGAAATAGCTAAAGATGGAACAGACCTGTCAGATTTTGAGGGATCTCGAAGGAATAGCTAAAGATGGAACAGACCTGTCAGATTTTGAAGGATCTTGAAGAAATGGCTAAAGATGGAACTGACCTGTCAGACTTTGAAGGATCTTGAAGAAATGGGTAAAGATGGAACAGACCTGTCAGACTTTGAAGAATCTGGAAGGAATGGTCCTTGACAGATCTTACAATTCTTGAAGGATGTAATGAAGCACAGTATTAAAATGGAAACCTTTGCTTTCAAAGTTATATTACAGACCCCGAATCTTACGTTACCTCTTTGAGAAGACAAAGAATCTGGTGTCTGCGTGTTCCTTATTTGTTTGAGAGCTTGACGAGCTAGAAACCCTCGCCAGTACGACTGGATTATCATCGCAGCGTTTAACATCCTAGACTCGTCTGTCTGTTTGTCTGCCACAGCTCTCGTGTTCATCTCGAAAATTTCCATCAGAGAAGAGTCAGAATTTCTGGTAACTATGACAAAACAAATAGTAAGAACAGAGCTGAAGGAAGATTTATTGAACAAGAAAAAATCTAACTTTTGTATGGAGTACTTTGACAATGAGAACTGAGTACATTGACAATAAGAACTGAGTACTTGGCCAATGAGAACTGAGTACTTTGACAATGAGAACTGAGTATTTTGACAATGAGAACTAAGTACTTTGATAATGAGAACTAAGTACTTTGACAATGAGAACTGAGTACTTGGCCAATGAGAACTGAGTACTTGGACAATGAGAACTGAGTACTTGGACAATGAGAACTGAGTACTTTGACAATGAGAACTGAGTACTTTGACAATGAGAACTGAGTACTTGGACAATGAGAACTGAGTACTTGGACAATGAGAACTGAGTACTTTGACAATGAGAACTGAGTACTTGGACAATGAGAACTGAGTACTTGGACAATGAGAACTGAGTACTTTGACAATGAGAACTGAGTACTTTGACAATGAGAACTGAGTACTTGGACAATGAGAACTGAGTACTTGGACAATGAGAACTGAGTACTTTGACAATGAGAACTGAGTACTTGGACAATGAGAACTGAGTACTTGGACAATGAGAACTGAGTACTTTGACAATGAGAACTGAGTACTTGGACAATGAGAACTGAGTACTTGGACAATGAGAACTGAGTACTTTGACAATGAGAACTGAGTACTTTGACAATGAGAACTGAGTACTTGGACAATGAGAACTGAGTACTTTGACAATGAGAACTGAGTACTTTGACAATGAGAACTGAGTACTTGGCCAATGAGAACTAAGTACTTGGACAATGAGAACTAAGTACTTGGACAATGAGAACTGAGTACTTTGACAATGAGAACTGAGTACTTTGACAATGAGAACTGAGTACTTCGACAATGAGAACTGAGTACTTTGACAATGAGAACCGAGTACTTTGACAATGAGAACTGAGTACTTTGACAATGAGAACTGCGAACACGAGCCCTTACCATCAAGTCACAACTTTTAGTGTCCACGAGCCCTTACCATCAAGTACACAACTTTTAGTGTCCACGAGCCCTTACCATCAAGTACACAACTTTTAGTGTCCTCAGCTTCTACTTTACTCCCGTCTTTCATTTCCCGGTCAGACTTTCGTCGCAGGAAGTCCCGCCAGGCAGTCTGAATCATAACCACTGCCTTCCATCTCATCGCCATGTGCCGATGTATGTCAAACATTTGTTTGCACACGATATAACCCCTCATGGCTACAAATAGAAGCCATAAGGGTTTCTGAACCAAGATACCAGACAAAGAATCAACTACAAAGACCTTTTAGGGGATGCATGTAATTTGTAACATTGTGATTTTTTAGCATTGAGGTCAGATTTTAACGGTCCCAGCTCAACTTTCAACATAAATCATTATGCAACATGGATAGAAGTCAACACTTGGGTGGCGTAGAGTCTTAACAAAGAAAACATACTTTTATATCCTCATCTAATTATAGATTGTATAAATCTGATTTCTACAGACTTATGTTAGACAGTTTACGTGGAGCCTAGACATTGTCCGTGGAGTGACAAGAACCAGCGTCCTCCTTGTGTAATCACCTATAAACAGCTGACCCAGAATTAACTCATTCGGATCACCCCCTGACATTTCATAATGAACTATTCCAACCTTTGAATTGGAAGAGTTCAAATGTGTCATTAGGGGTGAATGAGATAAAGCAATATATCAGTAAACTCATTCACCCCTGACATTTCATAATGAACTATTCCAACCTTTGAATTGGAAGAGTTCAAATGTGTCATTAGGGGTGAATGAGATAAAGCAATATATCAGTAAACTCATTCACCCCTGACATTTCATAATGAACTATTCCAACCTTTGAATTGGAAGAGTTCAAATGTGTCATTAGGGGTGAATGAGATAAAGCAATATATCAGTAAACTCATTCCCCCCTGACATTTCATAATGAACTATTCCAACCTTTGAATTGGAAGAGTTCAAATGTGTCATTAGGGGTGAATGAGATAAAGCAATATATCAGTAAACTCATTCACCCCTGAAATTTCATAATGAACTATTCCAACCTTTGAATTGGAAGAGTTCAAATGTGTCTTCAGAGGTGAATGAGTTAAAGCAGTATATTTGTTTGTCGGCAGTGACTGCACATAACAACACCCATGCAGCGTATCTTACCTTCCTGAGTTACCAAGGTATGTTCCCTGTTACCGTTTTTTTTTTCGTGCATTGACCTTCGCCCCAGGAACACTCTCAAACCAGTTCGTAGCTTCAACACCTTTTTCCAACGAAATTTTCGAACTTGTTTTTGAGTAGCTAAAAAGAATGCATTTCTTTTTATAACCTTGATTCCAAGCATAAATCAGTGTTCAGGTTTGTCAAATAAAATGTACATTTGGAAATATCCAAATTATATAAATCTCAAGCACTACGAAATCTCTAGAAATACAATGACACTGGTAACATTCTAGTCAGAAATGCAACGTTGTAACAAAACATAAACCTGTGAGACCAAAACAAAAGGACTAACAACACTGCACGGTTTAAGGATCCCCGTACCACTGCCGAGAACTGACACTATTCATTGGAAACCTAACTTTCCGACATGACTGTAGCTTTGATAAATCATTTGTGAAAAGAAAAGTACACCTTGCGAGACTTTTATGAAAACATAATGGAGACGAAATAAACAAAATACAATCAACCAACATGTTCTGAGCGTAAAATAATCTGCGGGCCCAGACCTGGATTCTAAACTTGGAGTTCAGATTGTTATATCATCGCTGAAACTGAATGCGCTTCCTGGACAAGGGAACTGCACGAGCCAAAATATGCAACAGTTATATCCAAATGGAAATTAAGGGGAGGTCACTGTATATAGAAAAAAATGCAAGTGCAGTGGGACAGGGACCCTTAACATCATTAATTTTCACTATCCCAAAACAATACCTTTTGGTTCAACTATTGGTAAAACATCTTCTTCCTCGCTCTCTATTTGTCTGTGCAACAACCAATCTCTTACAAACGCCTGAATGACCAGAGCCGCATTGTTGCGCTGCTCATTCAACTTCTGTTTACGAGTCAGGAAAAGGCGAACAGCTAGGATTACGAAGTAGAAGAACCACTGTTATGTCTTACTACACATAGATCTATATAAACAACAATACTGTATTCGCATTTATATTGAAAAGAAATTAACAGCATTTTTTTTATTCAATATAATGTTTCAGCAATCTGAAGCAACTTCATCATTGTACCTTCAAATTTGTTACAGAAAAAAATTAGGCAGGTTCTATGTGACTGTCTGACCTAGGCAGGTTCTATGTGGCTGTCTGACCTAGACAGATTCTATGTGACTGTCTGACCTAGGCAGGTTCTAGGTGGCTGTCTGACCTAGGCAGGTTCTTTGTGGCGGTCTGACATAAGCAGGTTCCATTTGGCTGTCTGACCGAGGCAGATTCTATGTGGCTGTCTGACCTAGGCAGGTTCTATGTGGCGGCCTGACATAAGCAGGTTCTATTTGGCTGTCTGACCTAGGCAGATTCTATGTGGCTGTCTGACATAGGCAGGTTCTATGTGGCATTCTAACCTAGACTAATTATATGTTGCTGTCTGACCTAGACAGGTTCTATGTGGCTGTCTGACATAGGCAGGTTCTATGTGGCTGTCTGACATAGGTAGATTCTATGTGGCTGTCTGACCTAGGCAGGTTCTATGTGGCTGTCTGACTTAGGCAGGTTCTCTGTGACTGTCTGACCTAGACAGATTCTATGTGGCTGTCTGACCTAGACAGAATCTATGTGGCTGTCTGACCTAGGCAGGTTCTATGTGGCTGTCTGACTTAGGCAGGTTCTCTGTGACTGTCTGACCCAGACAGATTCTATGTGGCTGTCTGACCTAGCCAGATTCTATGTGGCGGTCTGACCTAGGCAGGTTCTCTGTGACTGTCTGACCTAGGTAGGTTCTATGTGACTGTCTGACCTAGGCAGGTTCTATGTGGCTGTCTGACCTAGGCAGGTTCTATGTGGCTGTCTGACCTAGGCAGGTTCTATGTTGCTGTCTGACCTAGGCAGGTTCTATGTGGCTGTCTGACCTAGGCAGGTTCTATGTGGCAGTCTGACATAAGCAGGTTCTCTTTGGCTGTCTGACCTAGGCAGATTCTATGTGACTGTCTGACATAGGCAGGTTCTATGTGGCTGTCTGACTTAGGCAGATTCTATGTGGCTGTCTGACATAGGCAGATTCTATGTGGCGGTCTGACATAAGCAGGTTCTATGTGGCTGTCTGACCTAGACAGATTCTATGTGACTGTCTGACCTAGGCAGATTCTATGTGGCTGTCTGACATAGGCAGATTCTATGTGGCGGTCTGCCATAAGCAGGTTCTATGTGGCTGTCTGACCTAGGCAGGTTCTATGTGACTGTCTGACATAGGCAGGTTCTATGTGGCAGTCTGACATAAGCAGGTTATCTTTGGCTGTCTGACCTAGGCAGATTCTATGTGACTGTCTGACCTAGACAGGTTCTATGTGGCTGTCTGACCTAGACAGATTCTATGTGGCTGTCTTACCTAGACAGATTCTATGTGACTGTCTGACCTAGGCAGGTTCTATGTGGCTGTCTGACTTAGGCAGGTTCTATGTGGCTGTCTGACCTAGGCAGGTTCTATGTTGCTGTCTGACCTAGGCAGGTTCTATGTGGCTCTCTGACCTAGGCAGGTTCTATGTGGGTGTCTGACCTAGGCAGGTTCTATGTGGCTATCTGACCTAGGCAGGTTCTATGTGGCTGTCTGACCTAAGCAGGTTCTATGTGACTGTCTGACATAGGCAGGTTCTATGTGGCGGTCTGACATAAGCAGGTTCTATGTGGCTGACTGACCTAGACAGATTCTATGTGACTGTCTGACATAGGCAGGTTCTATGTGGCGGTCTGACATAAGCAGGTTCTATTTGGCTGTCTGACCTAGTCAGATTCTATGTGGCTGTCTGACATAGGCAGATTCTATGTGGCGGTCCGACATAAGCAGGTTCTATGTGGCTGTCTGACCTAGACAGTTTCTATGTGACTGTCTGACCTAGACAGATTCTATGTGACTGTCTGCCCTAGACAGATTCTATGTGACTGTCTGACCTAGACCGATTCTATGTGACTGTCTGACCTAGGCAGATTCTATGTGACTGTCTGACATAGGCAGGTTCTATGTGGCAGTCTGACATAAGCAGGTTCTCTTTGGCTGTCTGACCTAGGCAGGTTCTATGTGACTGTCTGACCTAGGCAGATTCTATGTGACTGTCTGACCTAGACAGATTCTATGTGGCTGTCTGACCTAGACAGATTCTATTTATTATTGTGACTGTCTGACCTAGACAGATTCTATGTGACTGTCTGACCTAGGCAGGTTCTATGTGGCTGTCTGACCTAAGCAGGTTCTATGTGACTGTCTGACATAGGCAGGTTCTATGTGGCTGTCTGACCTAGACAGATTCTTTTTATTATTGTGACTGTCGGACCTAGACAGATTCTATTTATTATTGTGGCTGTCTGACCTAGACAGGTTCTATGTGGCTGTATGACTTAGGCAGGTTCTATGTGGATATCTGACACAGGGAGGTTCTATGTGGCTGTATGACTTAGGCAGGTTCTATGTGGCTGTCTGACCTAGGCAGATTCTATGTGGGTGTCTGACCTAGGCAAGTTCTATGTGGGTGTCTGACCTAGGCAGGTTCTATGTGGCTATCTGACCTAGGCAGGTTCTATGTGGCTGTCTGACCTAGGCAGGTTCTATGTGGCTGTCTGACCTAGGCAAGTTCTATGTGGGTGTCTGACCTAGGCAGGTTCTATGTGGCTGTCTGACCTAGGCAGGTTCTATGTGGCTGTCTGACCTAGGCAGGTTCTATGTGGCTGTCTGACCTAGGCAGGTTCTATGTGGCTGTCTGACCTAGGCAGGTTCTATGTGGCTGTCTGACCTAGGCAGGTTCTATGTGGCTGTCTGACCTAGGCAGGTTCTATGTGGCTGTCTGACCTAGGCAGGTTCTATGTGGCTGTCTGACCTAGGCAGGTTCTATGTGGCTGTCTGACCTAGGCAGGTTCTATGTGGCTGTCTGACCTAGGCAGGTTCTATGTGGCTGTCTGACCTAGGCAGGTTCTATGTGGCTGTCTGACCTAGGCAGGTTCTATGTGGCTGTCTGACCTAGGCAGGTTCTATGTGGCTGTCTGACCTAGGCAGGTTCTATGTGGCTGTCTGACCTAGGCAGGTTCTATGTGGCTGTCTGACCTAGGCAGGTTCTATGTGACTGTCTGACCTAGGCAGGTTCTATGTGACTGTCTGACCTAGGCAGGTTCTATGTGGCTGTCTGACCTTGGCAGATTCTATGTGGCTGTCTGACCTAGGCAGATTATATGTGGCTGTCTGACCTAGGCAGATTCTATGTGGCTGTCTGACCTAGGCAGATTCTATGTGACTGTCTGACCTAGGCAGATTGTATGTGACTGTCTGACCTAGGCAGGTTCTATGAGGCTGTCTGACCTAGGCAGGTTGTATGTGACTGTGACCTAGGCAGGTTCTATGTGACTGTCTGACCTAGACAGGTTCTATGTGGCTGTCTGACCTAGGCAGGTTGTATGTGACTGTGACCTAGGCAATGTGGCTGTCTGACCTAGGCAGATGCTATGGGGCTGTCTGACCTAGGCAGATTCGATGTGACTGTCTGACCTAGGCAGGTTGTATGTGACTGTGACCTAGGCAGGCTCTATGTGACTGTCTGACCTAGGTTCTATGTGACTGTCTGACCTAGGCAGATTCTATGTGGCTGTCTGACCTTGCTGTATAGTTACAGCACTTCGTTCTTCAATCAACGTCTGCTGAATCTTTGCCTCAACTCTCCTATACGCTAACAGTCTCCGCACCCAACATTGTATGATCAAAATGGCCGCCTGCTTCCGACAGAATTCTGTCCGAAATTGCTTGCAAGCAACATATCTTCTCATGGCTACAAATGATACAAAATTCATCAATGATAAAGAATTACTATACAGAGGAGGTGAAATACAGTATAATTTCAAACTTGATTTTGCACTTTGTTACATGTTCTGTGATTGGTTAATAGTAGTATATGAGATCCAAAAAGCATAAACGTTTTTTTTTTCCATGAGACTACTTTTAAAGATTTCCAAATCCCCATTTTTCTGTACACAATTTATTCAATTTAATTGTCGTTCGAGTTGTCTCCCATTGCCTAAACTAAATTCGCTGTGAAACAAATTGCAAGGTCTACTATTAATTATTATTTTTTTATTATTTTATCTTTGTCTTATTGTTTATCTTAAATATTAGAAGTTTGAAAAACAATTTGTTTTAAATTACAGTTGACCATATTTCCTACAGCAACACGTTCTGTTGTCTGATGAACTGACGATAACAATCTGACAAAGCTTTAACTGACGAAGCTTTAACTGACGAACCGACGATAACAATCTGACAAAGCTTTAACTGACGAAGCTTTAACTGACGAGGCCGAGACTACAGCCGAACCCCCAAAGAACGGGGGATTAGAAATACAACACATAATGTTCCTCCCATGACATACAAATCTAAGTGTGTGGTGGGTTTTTTTATCCACGAATGATCCATGAAACAAAAAACGTGACGAATATAGCAATGGAACATCAGGATTATTGATGGAAAGTCACTCAGATAACTGGAACAGTTTTCTAAAGGGTAGGACCAATCTTTGTTGTAAAACACTATCAGAAGTATGGATGCTATAAATGTCTTCCTCTCGGTCAGAATACAATGTTCTGAGATCTAATACGCATTAATAAGGATTAGGAATTTAAATGTTCAAACTTGACCTCTAACCTTACCTTTCTGAATAATAATTGCACAGTTCTCTTCCTTCTGGATGTTTGTAATAATTAGCTGCACCCTCTTGCGTGCCAAACACCCTCGTAACCAAGACTGAAGCAATAAGACAGCTGCGCTTCTTTTAATCAAAACTGGCCGCACTTTCTTACGAACAAGAAATCCTCGTACCACTAAAATCACAATTTAATTCAACAGAAGAAAAATATATATGCCAAAACAGAACTTTTCATTCCCATTTCTTATTTGTCACTTTTGCCATTGTAAGAGATAGCCATGCATAAACTAACAGAGGATAAAAGCAAATTTATATATTAAGATCTGTTAGTTCTGAAGTTTCCATTGGTGAAATTGGACGCTTTTAACATCCTATTCATTTAAAATATAAATCTATTATCAACATTCCTTTTAAATCTGGCATGTCTCAAAAAGTTTTAAAAATTATTTATTAAAAGTAATTAAACACATAAGGCATTGCACTGCTGTGTTTATATTGGTATTATTCTTAACTGATAGTGGAAAATGTTTTCAGATTTAATTTGAGGATGGAAACTTAGTGGATGATTTTAGACTGAAAGAAATTAATTTACAAAAGATTGGTCTTGTTAAAACGAAACTTTTGTCTAAAAGTATGAGCTTATTGAATTAGCAAACAAAATTATCGATCAATTAGGAAATACCAAACTCAGCCAAGGGGAGGTTACTCTGCAGGCAAAGAGTAACAAGTTGACATGCTATTGATATGATGGCGTGCTGACGTGAGTATGAGAACATTATAACATATGCAATCAAAGTCAATTTTAAATTGCCAACTCATGCATATTTTACACCTTTGTGAACATTCACTTCTGACTGTTGAAAGAAAATGTTAAGAAACTGTCTTCCTTTTGTTTTGGTGACTCCTCCATTCCTGTTGTTGCTTTTCCGTTTGTTTTGGTGTCTCCTCAGTTGCTGTTGTCTTTCCTTTTGTTTTGGTGTCTCCTCAGTTGCTTTTGTCTTTCCTTTTGTTTTGGTGTCTCCTCAGTTGCTTTTGTCTTTCCGTTTGTTTTGGTGTCTCCTCAGTTCCTGCTGTTGTTGGCTTTCCTTTTGTTTTGGTGTCTCCTCAGTTGCTTTTGTCTTTCCGTTTGTTTTGGTGTCTCCTCAGTTGCTGTTGTCTTTCCCTTTGTTTTGGTGTCTCCTCAGTTCCTGCTGTTGTTGTCTTTCCTTTTGCTTTGGTTTCTCCTCAGTTCCTGCTGTTGTCTTTCCTTTTGTTTTGGTGTTTCCTCAGTTGCTGTTGTTGTCTTTCCTTTTGCTTTGGTGTCTCCTCAGTTCCTGTTGTTGCTTTCCCTTTTGTTTTGGTGACTCCTGTTGTGGTTTTCTTGTTTGTATTTTATATTATACATTTTTTGCATACTGATGACAATAATATACTACTCACATTTTGCTAAGGATCACTTTTATTTTTGGAAAAATTGATTGTTCTTGTAATTCATCAGCATACAAAAATTAAAAAAATCGTAATTAGTCGCAAAATGAGCCAAATGAAAAGGGTTACCCTTAAAACTGGTAAAAATGAGGTATTCACTAAAAAAACTAAAATTGAACAAAACTCATCCTAAATAAACAGAAACTGTTCTAGTATTGAGTGTGACGCCCATGACCACCAATTACAGCTTCACAACATCCTGCGCATGCCCCGAATGAGATCGTGTATCCGGTTTTGTGGGATAGCGTTCCACTCAGCTACCAAAGCTGTTCCCAGCTCCTGGAGCGTTCTTGGCTGAACATTTCTGGCAGAGAGAGCTGTCTGCAGCATGTCCCACACATGCTCGATGGGAATTAGATCCGGCGAGCGGGCTGGCCAATCCATCCGTTGAATAGTCTCTTGCTGTAGATACTGCTCAGTCACCCTTGATCTGTGGCCTAGCATTATCGTCCATAAAGATGAAGTTAGGGTCGATAGCGCCAGTGTAGGGTCTGACATAAGCATCAAGGATTTCATCGCAGTAAATCCTGCAGGCCACAACGGTACCATTATGGAAGACATGGTGGTCAGTTTTCCCAAGAAGGCTTATGCCTCCCCACAACATCACTGAAATGTATATCCCCATATCGGTCATGTTCCACAACGATACCTGTCTGGGACCTCTCTTCAGATTGTCTCCATACTCTAACGCGCCTGTTGGTGAAGTCGAGACAAAATCTCGACTCGTCAGTAAAAATAACTGGTTCCCATTCCTGAAGAGTCCAAGTGCTGTTAGCTTTGGCCCAATCCAAGCAGTCCCTAAAATGGCGGGCAGTTAAGGGAACTTGTATTGCTAATCTACCTGACCTTAAACCAGCATCATGAAGACGGTTCATAACCGTCTGAGTGGCTACCCGGGTACCAGAAGCATGTAGGAGGTCATTTCGTAAAGCTGTGGCAGTCTGGAACCTGTGACGCCGTGCCTGTATGAGCAAAAATCGGTCTTGGCGCTGCGTTGTAGCCCTAGAACAACCTCCATCATGACGTTTCCATTAGTTTGGAAACGATTCCACATTCTTGCCACCACCCTTTGAAAAAACCCAAGGTCTGCTCCAACCTGACGTTGAGACATGCTAGCTGATGCCCCTATTGATTTCACCATCATTTAACCGTTGTCTGGTTAGTCTTTGTGCCATATTAAAACGAAAACACGCAAAGAATAATCATCAAATTGATTTCCTTAACAATTTGAACAAGTACGCCTTACTTAGCCTAGCCTAGGTTTTGAAAGGGGTGTACACGTGGAAAAGTGTGCACACGTTTATGGTTGACTGAACGAACCCACACAGCACGATTTGAAATATCATATTCGCCCAAACAGTACGGAAGGAAAACGTAACATCCTTCCTAACATTTTGATTTTTTTTCTTCCAAAAAATAGGTGATCCCTAGCAAAATGTGAGTAGTATACTATATCATGTATATTTCATATTTTAAAATATATTATTAACAATCTTTTGAAGATAAGTTGTTTTTAAAAACGATTAATAGAATCCACCTCTTAACAGATAAAGTTATGTTAAACCGAGGGAAAGATTCCTGAGATTTAGTACAGGGTTTAGTAAAAAAGGTAAAAAAAATCACTCCCTATACAGTTACCTAATGACTTTTCTGCTATAAAGAGTAAAGAAAGTGAAGCAACATGTGGGAAGTGTGGCTCACCACTGACTTAAACACTGAAGCTTCGGGTGCAAATGTACTGATTCAATGCCGTCACATGTATAAAGCTTGCTTAAACGATTCTCATCAAATGCCGGTATAGTACGCCGTGCATAAGCTCAAGCCATGCAAAAACCTTGACTCTCAAACACAACCCAGGACACTGGAACCACAACTTTCAAAACTTCCAAAAAAGATTTTATAAATCCATTTAGAATTTTAAACTTGCATTTCTTTTTTTTCTTGTTTGACTACTGCCATTCACAAACTCTGGGATTGTATGTTCACTTATGTTCTGTGCTCCCCAGAATATGTCATTACCAAATCGAAGGCACAGGGTCAGCTAGTCATAAATAATCCAGGGGTGCAGAAAATGTCAGAGAGTGTAAGTGAGTGTAACCCCTGGCGTATCGAGGATGGTTCTAGGGCTACAGAGAGTGTAAGTGAGTGTAACCCCTGGCATATCGATGATGGTTCCAGGGCTACAGAGTGTAAGTGAGTGTAACCCCTGGCGTATCGATGATGGTTCCAGGGCTACAGAGAGTGTAAGTGAGTGTAACCCCTGGAGTATCGAGGAAGGTTCCAGGGCTACAGAGAGTGTAAGTGAGTGTAACCCCTGGAGTATCGAGGAAGGTTCCAGGGCTACAGAGAGTGTAAGTGAGTGTAACCCCTGGAGTATCGAGGAAGGTTCCAGGGCTACAGAGAGTGTAAGTGAGTGTAACCCCTGGAGTATCAAGGAAGGTTCCAGGGCTACAGAGAGTGTAAGTGAGTGTAACCCCTGGAGTATCGAGGATGGTTCCAGGGCTACAGAGAGTGTAAATGGCCGTAACCCCTGGTGTACCGAGGAAGGATTACAAGTAGCGTGTATGGACCACACTGATTGCGGAGTCTTACCGCGCTGTATAACAACACTACTCTTTAATATCCTCAGATGTTCCTGCTCTCTACTCCTCCTCAACCAATCGCGAACATAGCGCTGTATCGCCACAATAGCTGCCATCTTTTTCTCCATCCACGGTTGCGTAAATTTTCGAACCAGAAAGCCCCTTACCACTACCGAAAGGTAAAAGTCAAGTTAAGGTACAGATATTTCGTCTTTTGTTCACATATGACCAAAGTCGAGATTTTTGGATTTGCAAAAAATATGATTGATCAAATTTGACAATTTCAATATGAAATTTTGTAATTCCAAAAACTAGGAATTACAATGATTCCTCAGAAAATGTAGATTTGTAAAAGTTATTCTTCTATCAAGAAATTCTCAATTGGTCAAGGTTGTTTAAACTTTTCTGTAGGTCATTTGACATCAAAAATACATAAGTTTTACAACTAAAACAGTTTTTCAAGGATTTCTTGAGGTAGCTACAAGTTTATAAACCACACTATGAAGTACAAGTGACCTGTAAAAAATGTAAATTGTGACCTCTGAAATTCAAATATCTATATTTCATAAAATATTCATACTGCATGGCATACAATTTCTAGGCCAAAGAGTTCAAGTTTAAATTTTTATGACATTTGCAAAAATTCCATTTCATACCTGAAAACATGAATTTTGATTAAAACATAAGTATTTACACGTGCTTCACCTGTAAAATAAAACATTTCATACTGAAACAAAATACAGATTATCACTTTTGTTACAAGCAAACACCAAATGTCTTCATAACTTTTTACCTATTTCATAAAAACCAGGAAGATGAACTAAAACTTTATAACATAAATAAGGACTAATTGGATGTCAGCTCCTTCGTAACTTCCCTTAGTTCTGCTATTTCATAACTATTTGAAAAAGTATTTTAGCTTCCTAAACTGGTGTTGGCCTCCCCTGTAAGTGGACCACTAAAACTAAAACAGCTGCCCTTTCTAAACATTTTCTTCAGGTTGGTAAGTATGGGTTGAAGAAAGGTTCATTTAGCACAACAGTTAAGTGCTTATGTACCCGAATCAAATCTCCCTCAATTTTATATCACCATCTTTTACATGTTTTTTATATTAGTGTACAGCAGAATGGATTTGTTGGTGTTATTCCTCATTTAATACCTGGGTAAGGACTAACATCCAGTTTTAGCATAGCTAAATCAACATCGATTTTAATTTACATACATGTACATATTTTACACGTTTGTGTACATACACTTCACTTGTCATTTGTTTGATGAGGGTGACAGAGCACATATCGTACTAGTCATCAAAAAGGTCACACATTAACACCTACTGGTTGTGCTGTATGAATCTTTTTACAAAACAGCTGTCCTGTTTTTGCCTTGCACCACATACAAATATTACACAAACATGCAATATTTTCACAAAGACCATGACAGACATAGTTCCAGACAAACTTCAGAGATCTACGGCATTTTGACATTTCCAGGCATCAAAAACATTTGCCCACAATGCGATATACCAGACACCAATTAAAATGTTCTTGGCCTAAATGTTACCAAAATATGCACACAACTAATTCCTTCCTTCCTCCATGACTCATTCCTTTTCCCATAACTTTCTCCTACAATGTCACACTCCCTGTGGCGAGTCCTACCTTTCTGTATAGAGATAGCACTCTTCTCCCTTTTCTCCTGAAGTGTCTTTTGCTCTCGTACAGATTTACGTGCCAAGTGGCCTCGGATTTTGGACTGTATAAGTACAGTTGCCTTCCGACGTTTCTCGATCACTGGCCGAGTTTTTCTACGAACAAGGAACCCTTTTATTGCTGAAAACAGATGTGAATGAGGGAAAATAATAAGTGCAGATAAAAAACATAAAAAAAAATTACAAAAAAAAGGTGCATACGTAATAAAAAGCAAAGAAATTTAAATAGTGATAAAAGCGTATAAATAATGAAAATAGAAAGAAGAAGAATTACTTTGAGCAGGAAAAAAATAGTGAATTTGCATTCCTAGGACATACAGGCATAATATAATAAAAATAAATAGTGTGTCTATGTGGCTGTGACCTAGTTTCAAAGGGCAAGATAGTATAGAGACCTAGTGTTGTAGGGCTAGACTGTAATGTGACAGTGACCTAGTGTTGTAGGGCTAGACTGTAATGTGTCAGTGACCTAGTGTTGTAGGGCTAGACTGTAATGTGACAGTGACCTGGTGTTGTAGGGCTAGACTGTAATGTGACAGTGACCTGGTGTTGTAGGGCTAGACTGTAATGTGACAGTGACCTACCGTAAATTTGCGCGTATAGTGCACACTTTTTTGGGTAAATATTGGCATGTCAAAAATGGGGTGCGCACTATACGCAGGAACCAGTCATTCTTGGGTTATCGTTCTCGAGTTTCTGGTCTGCCATATTGGATTACCTCCCTTCAAAGTTTATTTTGAGTCGTCGGTCATATATGATAAGATTGAAGATTAAAATAACAACAAAGAATGAATTTTTTTGGCAACACAATTTTTACCTTCTCTTAAATGATTAAAATCAGTAATCTGTGGTCATGACTGCTGATTTGGCGACAAACACAAGCTGGTCACGTAACATTTTTACAGGTAAGTTGACCGGAGGGCATACCGTCTGATCCCGGACAATAGGCTAGGTAGGATCGCCATGCTTCAGCGAAAATTATTGACACTTCTCAACACCACAGTTAATACAAATTACAATGCAGTAATTAGCTAACACTCTTTCAGTGATTACCGATTAACAATAGTTCTACTGCAATTTAATTGAAATTACTTGCAGTCGCGATCGAGGGACCGTGTTGTTTTCACTCCTCAACACGTGCCGTGGCGTGAAGCCCTACTGCACTGTTAGAACTACATACTGATTTGACCGTAAAGGGATTATAAAAAATATGTTTATACTAGAAGCGTGGACATTCAACACATCCCCTTCAAATCTATTCGAAGGAAATAAAAAAAAAAGCAGAATGTACTTTTTTTATGATGCTTCATAATATTGAAATAATTCACGAGGTTATCGATCACGTCAACATGAAAGTGAGCCGGGGAAAAAATGCACAATAGGCCTAACGATTTGGTAAAAAAACAAACCAGAACTAACATGGAACAGAGCCTATAATTGAAACACTATATTTTCGTAATATTCAGAAAACCTCTGAGATGTCGAAACATAAGTTGATCGGTGATTCTCTGGCATCGGAATTAGCTACACTTTCTTCGTTTGGTTTCTGCAGGATTCGTCCACCAAGCGATACGGAGGGAGACCTTCATGGGCTTGTTGACTCCAATCAATCAATCGTTAATTAATCTGCGTTATAAAGACCAAGCTACCTTTGATGCTACTTATCCAGTTTGATACCGTTTATTTTTAGGATTTTTTTCCCAAAAAAACAAAAATATTTTTTTTCATTTTTTTTTTCAAATCTGACCCCAAAAACGTACCTGCGCACTATACCGAGTGCGCACTTTACCCTCAAATTTATGGTAGTTTTGTAGGGCGAGATAAAGGGTGACAGTATATGTAACAGTGACATAGTTTTGTATAGTGAGAAACTATATGTGACTGACTTAGTTTTATAGGGTGAGACAGTTTGTGACAGTGACCTAGTTTTGAGGGCAGGATTGTAATGTGAAAGTGACCTTGTTTTCTAGAGTGAAACAGTATATGTGACAGTGACCTAGTTTTGTAGGGTGTGACAGTATATGTGACAGTGACATAGTTTTGTATAGTGAGAAACTGTATGTGACTGTGACCTAGTTTTGAGGGCAAGATTGAAATGTGAAAGTGACCTTGCTTTGTAGAGTGAGACATTATATGTGACAGTGACCTAGTCATGTAGGGTGAGGCAGTGACCTAGTTTTTTAGGGTAAGACAGTATATGTGACAGTGACCTAGTTTTATAGAGTGAGACAGTATATGTGACAGTGACATAGTTTTATAGAGTGAGACAGTATATGTGACAGTGATCCAGTTTTGTAGGGTGAGACAGTATATGTGACAGTGACCTAGTTTTGAAGGGTGAGTCAGTATATGCGACAATGACATAGTTTTGTAAGGTTAGACAGTATATTTGACAGTGACCTAGATTTGTAGGGTGAGACAGTGACCTAATTTTGTAGGGTTGGACAGTATATGTGACAGTGACCTAGTTTAGTGGGGTGAGACAGTATCTGTGACAGTGATCCAGTTTTGTAGGGTGAGACAGTATATGTGACAGTGACCTAGTTTTGTGGGGTGAGCCAGTATATGTGACAGTGATCCAGTTTTGTAGGGTGAGACAGTATATGTGACAGTGACCTAGTTTTGTAGGATTGGACAGTATATGTGACAGTGACCTAGTTTTGTAGGGTGAGACAGTATATGTGACAGTGACCTAGTTGTTCACTGTACCAACCTGTTTGTATGGCAACTGCAGCTCCTTTCCTGAGTTTGAACTCTTTTTGGAATTTTCTTTGGATCACAAAACCACGGAAACCTATAAACAGATATTTTGAATAAGATGTTAAAAAATAGTAACATTTCAATGTAAATAAATACAATAACCTATGTTATCTTCTTCTCATCATTTCATTTACAGTTAATTAAAGGTTTTGAGTCGCATGACTTATAAGACAGTTTCACATGACTAATGGGATCACATGACTGATGAAACAATGTCACATCACTAATAAGACAGTGTCACATGACTAATGGGATCACATGACTGATGAGACAATGTAACATCACTGATAAGACAGTGTCACATGACTAATGGGATCACATGACTGATGAGACAATGTAACACTAGAACTGTAAGCTAAAGGCTAACTAATACCCCCGCTCCTATACAAGCCAGAGTTGTAAGCTAAAGGCTAACTAATACCCCCCTCCTATATAAACCAGAACTCTAAGCTAAAGGCTAACAAATACCCCCGCTCCTATACAAGCCAGAGCTGTAAGCTGAAGGCTAACAAATACCCCCGCTCCTATATAAACCAGAACTGTAAGCTAAAGGCTAACAAATACCTCCACTCCTATAAAAACCAGAACTGTAAGCTAAAGGCTATCTAATACCCCCCTCCTATACAAGCCAGAGCTGTAAGCTGAAGGCTAACAAATACCCCCACTCCTATATAAACCAGAACTGTAAGCTACAGGCTAACTAATACCCCCCCTCCTATGCAAGCCAGAACTGTAAGCTAAAGGCTAACAAATACCCCCACTCCCATATAAACCAGAACTGTAAGCTATAAGCTAACAAATACCCCCACTCCCATATAAACCAGAACTGTAAGCTAAAGGCTAACAAATACCCCCCTCCTATACAAGCCAGAACTGTAAGCTAAAGGCTAACAAATACCCCCCTCCTATACAAGCCAGAACTGTAAGCTAAAGGCTAAGTAATACCCCCTCCTATACAAACCAGAACTGTAAGCTAAAGGCTAACTAATACCCCCCTCCTATATAAACCAGAACTGTAAGCTAAAGGCTATCTAAAACCCCCCTCCTATACAAGCCAGAGCTGTAAGCTAAAGGCTAACAAACACCCCCACTCCTATATAAACCAGAACTGTAAGCTAAAGGCTAACTAATACCCCCCTCCTATATAAACCAGAACTGTAAGCTAAAGTCTAACAAATACCCCCACTCCCATATAAACCAGAACTGTAAGCTAAAGGCTACCAAATACCCCCGCTCCTATACAAACCAGAACTGTAAGCTAAAGGCTAACAAGTACCCCCTCCTATTCAAGCCAGAACTGTAAGCTAAAGGCTAAGTAATACCCCCTCCTATACAAACCAGAACTGTAAGCTAAAGGCTAAGTAATACCCCCTCCTATACAAGCCAGAACTGTAAGCTAAAGGCTAACAAATACCCCCTCCTTTTCCAGCCAGAACTGTAAGCTAAAGGCTAAGAAATACCCCCACTCCTATATAAACCAGAACTGTAAGCTGAAGGCTAACAAATACCCCCTCCCATATAAACCAGAACTGTAAGCTAAAGGCTAAGTAATACCCCCACTCTTATATAAACCAGAACTGTAAGCTACAGGCTAACTAATACCCCCACTCCTATGCAAGCCAGAACTGTAAGCTAAAGGCTAACAAATACCTCCACTCCTATATAAACCAGAACTGTAAGCTAAAGGCTAACTAATACCCCCCTCCTATACAAGCCAGAACTGTAAGCTCAAGGCTAACTAATACCCCCCTCCTATACAAGCCAGAGCTGTAAGCTGAAGGCTAACAAATACCCCCGCTCCTATATAAACCAGAACTGTAAGCTAAAGGCTTAGTAATACCCCCACTCCTATACAAGCCAGAGCTGTAAGCTAAAGGCTAACAAATACCCCCACTCCTATATAAACCAGAACTGTAAGCTAAAGGCTAACAAATACCCCCACTCCTATATAAACCAGAACTGTAAGCTAAAGGCTAA